GTATGTGAACTTGTTGATTTGACTCTGACCATGCTTCTGACCATGTGTCTTGCTTTCTCATTTCCAGGCTGTATGTGAACTTGTTGATTTGACTCTGACCATGCTTCTGACCATGTGTCTTGCTTTCTCCTTTCCAGGCTGTATGTGAACTTGTTGATTTGACTCTGACCATGCTTCTGACCATGTGTCTTGCTTTCTTGTTTCCAGCTGGTATGTGAACTTGTTGATTTGACTCTGACCATGCCTCTGACCATGTGTCTTGCTTTCTCCTTTCCAGCTGTATGTGAACTTGTTGATTTGACTCTGACCATGCCTCTGACCATGTGTCTTGCTCTCTCATTTCCAGGACGTATGTGAACTTGTTGATTTGACTCTGACCATGCTTCTGACCATGTGTCTTGCTTTCTCCTTTCCAGACCGTATGTGAACTTGTTGATTTGACTCTGACCATGCCTCTGACCATGTGTCTTGCTCTTCATTTCCAGGACGTATGTGAACTTGTTGATTTGACTCTGACCATGCCTCTGACCATGTGTCTTGCTTTCTCCTTTCCAGAAAGTCATCCGTATGTGAACTTGTTGATTTGACTCTGACCATGCCTCTGACCATGTGTCTTGCTTCTTGTTTCCAGAATGTATGTGAACTTGTTGATTTGACTCTGACTGCTTCACCATGTGTCTTGCTCTCTCATTTCCATGACGTATGTGAACTTGTTGATTCTGACCATGCCTCTGACCATCTGTCTTGCTTTCTCGTTTCCATAATCCAGCGTTGTATGTGAACTTGTTGATTTGACTCTGACTATGCTTCTGACCATGTGTCTTGCTTTCTCCTTTCCAGCCGTATGTGCTTGTTGATGACTCTGACCATGCTTCTGACCATGTGTCTTGCTTTCTCATTTCCAGTGTGTATGCTAACTTGTTGATGACTCTGACTATGCCTCAAACCATGTCATCTTGCTTTCTTATATCCAGTGTGTATGTGAACTTGTTGATTTGACTCTGACCATGCCTCTGACCATGTGTCTTGCTCTCTCATTTCCAGGACGTATGTGAACTTGTTGATTTGACTCTGACCATGCTTCTGACCATGTGTCTTGCTTTCTCCTTTCCAGAAAGTCATCCAGTGTGTATGTGAACTTGTTGATTTGACTCTGACCATGCCTCTGACCATGTGTCTTGCTTCTTGTTTCCAGAAAGTGTGTGAACTTGTTGATTTGACTCTGACTGCTTCATGTGTCTTGCTTTCTCATTTCATGTATGTGAACTTGTTGCTTTGACACAGTCCATGCCTTTGACCATCTGTCTTGCTTTCGCATATCCAGGTTGTATGTGAGCTTGTTGATTTGACTCTGACTATGCTTCTGACCATCCATGTTGTTTTTCCATTTCCACTTATCAGCTTGACTCTGACCATGCTTCTGACCATCTGTCTTGTTTTTTCATATCCAGTGTGTATGCTAACTTGTTGATTTGACTCTGACTATGCTTCAAACCATTCATCTTGCTTTCTTATATCCAGTGTGTATGTGAACTTGTTGATTTGACTCTGATCATTGCTCTAACCATCTGTCTTGCTTCCTAACTTTCTGGGAGTATGTAAACTTGTTGCTTTGGCACTCACTGCACTGCTTACTTTCCACCTCATTGTCATTTTCTGACATTAAGTGAACTTGTATGTATCTAAAAAGACTGTTTACATTAATTTCACTGGGTATGTATTCAAATGTCAGTTTTCCTGATGTTCTTGTGTTCACTTGTTATTTAATCCTAAATCTAAGTATGTCATTAACCTTTACATTGATTTTTATTTACACACTCCCTTATTGCAATTTTCAATAATGATGACATTTTGAAATAAAAAGTTTGAACTCTGGTCAGGTCTAGTGTTCGCAGGTCTGGTTCAGTCCGGTTTTTTGCCCCAAAAACAGGCAACTGTGGACTGCAACCGGTCTAGGACCGACCCAGATGTTGAGGGAACCGAACTGGACCACGTAGGGCCGGTCTTTTGTGGTCCATGGACCGCGTTGAAACCAATTCAGACTGGTTTTTTTGCGTAAAATTTGTCATACCAATATAAACCATTTGTATCTCAATTACTATTACTCTAAAAAATTAACTGGTTCTATAATGTAGTAAAACATATAAATACCCATCATTCCACCAATTCTTAAGAAATTTAATGAAGGTTTGACATAGCTATGACTGAAACCAAATTACATCTCCTAAAGACTCGGGCAAAATGTAATGTGGCAACTGTAAATTATTTGATGCATACCATATATTGATAGATGGTGAGTATATTTTCATACTTAAAATGTCAATATCCAAAAATTGAATCAAGCAAAATGATGAAAGTCTGAGTGAGTTAGAATTAAAGTCATTCTGGTACAAGTTGCACAAACAAGTATTTGTGCCAAAATGGATTTGGTTATATCTTTCTCAGTTCTTAACCATTTTTGATGAACCAAAAACCCAATTAAATGTAATAAACATGGTTACAAGGCTATGTAACACATGTGACCCTTTAACTGGTTGCAACTGATTTAAACCAGTCTTTGAACGGTTTTAAAAGATTTTTGAAATGAGGCAACTGGCAACCGGACCAACCCCAAATTTAATGTACCAGACCTTTAAACACTAGTCAGGTCATTTGACATGTGAGAAGTCACAATCTGTGACAGCACCAGTCATGTTGACAATCTTCTGTGTTCAATAACTCCATGTCCAACTATGATACTACTGACAGTGAAGAGGATGAGAATGATGGCTGTAATTATACTAACACATCAGCTTGTAACTTTGCAGGGGGTCCTAGCCCTTTATACTACGTGGCATCCAATATATTGCACAGCCACCATGTGATGCCATCCTGTCACATTAACTTTTGATCTAATGGGTTTGGTATCGAAATAATGAGTGTTCCCAGACTGCATACATCATGTAATTGTAAATAAATATGTATGAGACATGTATCATGTATATTAGATGAAATTTTTATGAATTAATCCCTAAGGGCATGTGCAATACTTTTGGACATGTGCATTCAATGTGCTTGTATGATATATTACTTGTGCATCAGTATTGTAATGCCAAAAAAATAACTTGCATTCTCTGCTCAAAGCTATGGGCTACACATCCCCCACAAAAGTTGCATAGATTGTTGAGTTACGCAAGGCTGGACGAAGTGATTCTGACATCGCTTGCCAAGTGGGGGTAGATCACACCACTGTCCCCTGTATTTTTGCATGTTGGGAAGAATCCAGGGATTTCTATTATCGAAGACCCAAAATAGGCTGCCCTCAAAAGCTTACCCCCCATGACATCTGCCATGGAGCCTGTATGCTTGCCACAACTGAGGTGGATAATGCAACAGAACTTGCAAAATGGGCATTTCCTGGTGTGTCTCGCCAGACTGTATCCTGAGAGTTGAAGGAGCATGGACTCATTTGTCAAGTCTGTTGGTCTCAGCCCTACATTAGTCCAGCCAACCAAATAAAGTGGTATGCCTGGGCAAAGCAGCATCAGAATTGGACCCCAGGGATGTGAAAGGGGGTCCTAGCCTTTATAACTACAACAAAAGCATCAAGATGACTATTGTCTTTGCTTCTCCTCTGAATCCTCAAAAAAAGCGCAGGGCCAACACCAAGCCAACAGCTGCACAAACATTGATCACTTTCATGAAGATGTTCCCTTGCCTGACTTCTTGTCCAAAGCCTTTGGGGGAATTTGGGTCAGAATACCCCTCTCTGGTCTCAAATGCCTCGCCTTGAAGATCCACTGCATTTTCATCTTCCATCTGCAACTGCTTTGCAGGTCCTCACTCCAAATCGTCATCTGAAGTGCTGCCAAAGTCGTGATCAACATGAGATGTTGGCATCGAGGAAGCTTGTGGAATAGGATTGTTCTGAGGGGCATGTGGCTGATGGCTTCCAGCTGCAGTAAGCTGGGTGTCAATGTCTTCATTGGTATGTTTTCGATATGTCGAGTACACTTTCAACTTCCCTGGCCCATTTGGGCTGCCACAACATCGGGTGCAGTGGCATCGGTACCATTTCTTCCCTTCTTCGTCAACAAAAGTGTCCATGTTGGTGTTGTTTTTCGGATGGGCACAAGGGGGGAAGGAAAAGCAGATGTTAATTATACTGTAAGGTCTAACGTCTAAAACTACATACAGGTCGCAGATTTCGATGACAAAGTGCGATCATTTTCAGTTGCCATTCCAAAAGTGGAATAATTTGCATCTGGTGAGATCTGACCTACATGACGTGACAAGACTTGCACAATATCACACGTTTTCAAAGGACAGGCTTTTCACTGGGGTTTAAGATCAAAAGAATCCACATTGATCAGAACTGTAAGTTCAGAAAGGAGCTTTCAGAAGAAGGAGTGGTCATAGATTGTGGAAAGCTTTGAGGAATACGAAAAGCAGAGGCTATTTTATCACCAAATACAAAGTCAAAGTACTTAGAAAGAAGATCAGGCCTTGAGGTATAGCTTGGGGCAACTAGAGAAGCTGGAAACTTAACAAGTATCTCACTATCAGACAGAGATGCAACTGAATTCCAAGTATTTAAAAAAGCAAGAAGAAGTTCATCAATCAATAGAGCTTTTGACCTCAAGTGAGGAATAGGTATTCTAGCACAGAGCACCTGGAGAGGGAAAGTCAATGATGGTCATCTGAACACAGAAACCAAGTAGAGTTATCTAGAGATACCATGAAGGGCAAATTCACAAGTTCAGTGTGGTAGGTCACAAAGTTTAATGTGGTAAGCCACAAGTTTAACATGGTAAGCCACAAGTTTAACATGGTAGGCCACAAAGTTACCTTGCTTGTCAAGGTCTATTTCCACAGTCATAATTATGTAAGCCAACGTACTGTCCCCCAAGGTCATATATTGTTTTTATTTCAGCCGAAGCGTTAGAGACCGCTCTAGACTGGCTGCCAAACACAACCAAGCAAATCTGTTGTACAGTTGTGGACAAGCAAAGTCATCTAAAAATATTAACTTTTTTTTAAAGCCCCGAAAATAGTTGGAATCGACGCAGATTCACGAGAGCTTTCCAGCCATACCACTTTCATCAAATTCTATCGAGCCGATCCCTCAGAAATCACCAAAATAAGGTTTTTCTGCCTCAAAATATTGGCAGACCCTAAATTTCACCCAAAAATCATGAAAAATAGTGCAATCGACTCCTTTTGATGAAAGGGTTATGATCCCATAAAAATTAGCAACTTTTATTGATTCATTTCGGGTAAATAAATTTGTTGATAGTTGCCAAAAATGGTAATTGATTAGTGATCAACCATATTTAGTCTCCACTTGGACCCCTCCAGGACCTGGGAAAGTCATGTCAAATGCCTGATCCCTGTGCGGACAAAAATTTGACGAAAATACGAATATGCCTGAGGACTGTCCGGACAAAATTTTGGAATTTTTTTGGAAATGCCTGATGTAGATGTGCGGACAAAAGTGGCTCAAATCTAGAAGGCCTGAGCCGATTGCGGACAAAAATTGGGCCAAAATGTTTGGAAATTTATAGATGTTCTACTATGATATGTTTTCTGGCCGCATCCGCTGAGCTTCGTTCTACATAGTGTAGCTAGCGTGTTGTAATTTGTAATTTCGTGCCAAATCCTGATTCGAATTCACTTTGAATTTGCTCTTCTCACTTCGCCTCAGTTTCTTCGGACACTGTCCCACGGACCAGGACCCATCCACAAAAACCATGGATGATGGTACTTACAATGCACACCAACACAAGAAGATCACGACATCTTCAAAGTATTGAATGCTCTTTGCTCAGATAGTGGAAGGCAGTTACTGTATTGCACGGGAAGAAGAAAAAGGGTGTAGAGCATGAAGAGGTGGATGCAGACGGCGAGGCTTACGAGGATAGGTAGATACCCGAGAGCCGAGATTTTAGTTTACATTTAGCCTTCACATACGTCTGGAGTAGCTGCGCAGCGAAATTTTTTGAATCCTGCCTATCAAATGCCTGATCCAATGTGCGGACAAAATTTGTGCAAAAGCGAGGCCTGATCCGCGGTGCGGACAAAATTTGGGAGAATTCGTGCGGACAAAAATGGCCAGATTTCGGGATTTTGGGATCAGGCATTTGACATGACTTTCCCAGGTCCTACCCCTCCAGAGTCCCTGATCTGTGGTCAGTCTTCTTGTTAGAATTTCTGTGACTTTTTGTTAGATGGTACCTATCACTACCGAGAATTTTACCCCACAACCGACGAGATTTGAGTAGATTTGGTCATCAAGGACCCTGAATTGAGGCAAAAATTTGGCAGACCCAGTTTCTTGTGGGAAAAACTTCGAAGGTGTGTTTTTCGACATATTTCAACAAGCTGGCCATGATCCCGAAGTTTGGTGCCATTTTATCAAGCCGTTCCCACACTATCAAATTAGATGACTTTGCTTGTCCGCAACTGTACTGGCCCCCAAGGTGATATATCACTTTTATTTCAGCCGAAACGTTAGAGACCACTCTAGACCACCACCAAACCTAATGGCGCAAATTTGCCATCCCCAGTTGCTGAGAGATTTCTGTGGTACTTACTCAATCTACTGTCTTCAACAAATCTGCTCAAATTCTTCAACTTATACAATACTACTTACTAGTAACAATACTGACCAAAAGATGATAGATGCCTGCTACATAAGTAATGGGTCACACTTTTTTTGTAAGTACAAGCTTCAGACCCATCCACTTTCATTGGCTGCAAGGAGTGAACCGCATAAGCGGTTCAGCAACAAGCAGCCAATAAAAGATCACAAACTTACTCTCATTTTTTATCACCATAGCAGGCTTCAAAGCGCCCACAGGGGCACTACAGTGATTATTTTTTTTTATTCTGCATGAAATACAAGCAAGGTTTTTGTTGACATTGGAACAATGTCCAACTCTAGTTTAACATGGTAAGCCACAAAGTTTAATGTGGTAGGCTACAAGAACTGAGTGTGACGGTGTACAAGCAAAGAGCACAACTTTCAACAAAATGAGCACTGGACAAGAGCAATGGCTGTTGAGTTGCAGGGTCGTCGAACCATGATCTGGCCGAGAGTGGGAACAAAGTGGCAGAAGCCAAAATTTGTGGGAATGCCATCACAGATGTTTAGCAAGGTTCAAAGTTCAGGATTTATCGATCTGACAGAACCCTCCTCTGTTCCAAAGTCGGGTATTAGACCTTGACAAGCAAGGTAAAATATCACTGGGTGAGTTGGTGCTGAGCTCTAGTATTTGAAATATGGTCTGTGACGGCATTGTGGCCTTCTTGTGGCCTTTGTTGGGCCTTTGACCACTTCTGAATTTCTTCTGGCAGGTTCAAGAGGAAACCTGGCAGAATGAGACTAGGCCATGAGTCTGTACCATCGTTGAAAGTTGAAACTAGTGCTACTGACTCAGAAGCATTGTCACTTTGTCAGTTGAATCTTACCTAGCCACATTCTCTGGTTTGAGTATCCAAATAAAAATTCTAGGGTGCTTGATGGTGACCAGACAAGCACTGGACCGCTATGGGGCCGTTTTCGCCACAAGGAATTCTACATTATCACGCTTTTATCAGACTATGACTGCATATACATACGACAAGGATGAGACTGAGATCCTCTCAAACGCCTCTTTGGACCAACTTTGGACGTCAGTGATGGCCTCCTCGCTCCACCGGCAAAAGCATGAATTTATTTATCTATTCTATGGATCCTCTCAAACACCTCCTTCGGCGCGACCATACCAACGTCGTATCGACGCGGTCTCCATTCCACTCCAACCCCACACACCCCGATTCCGAGTCTCTAAGTGGCAATCTATTTTTATCCCATCCTGGAGATGGTACTCTAATATACATACACGTCAATATCTTGATACACAATTGGTTGAATAACAATGTGAGCGGGGGAAATGATTCCGAGTCATATAATGGTATCATGCACTGAAAAGAAAAATTGTTAACTTTCAAATCAAAGTTAAAGAAAGAAAGAGAAACGCACAAGTCAGGAACCGGCACCAAAAAATCTAACACGCGTATCTCCCCGCGCGTAGCCACCACCAACCTCCCAGAAGCAGGACAAAAATCATACAACACCCTGTCCTGCAACCCATACGTATACAACGACTTCGTAACAGCCGAACATTGCTCCCCCTGGCCCCCTTCACTCCCCACTTCACTTCCTTCCTCACTAGCCTCGTCACTCCACACATCATCATAATCCTCCTGCTCCTCCTCCTCCTCCCCCTCCATCCTCATCAAGCTAGTCAAAACCTCCCCACTCAACGCCCACGACTGACTCAACTGCCCATGACAAATCGTCATAGGCGGCAACACAACCCTCGCATTAAACGGCGCCCTCCTCCCCGCACTTGAGCCATTAGCACCTGAATACGCCTTCTCCATATGCATCGCGAACCTAAAAGGCTCTTTCGCGTCGGAGCCCGTCAGACCCAGATGTTCCATCTCGAGTTTGTATAATGACATGGCGAGGTTCCGGCCTACGGGCGTTGCGAGGCCTAGGTATATGTGGTTTAGAGAGGGAGGCCACCAGCCTGCGGGTGCGGCTAGAAGGGGAGGAGGGCAGCGGGGGTTTGGGTTGTTGAACGGGTGGGTTATTTCCGTGGGTGGTTGGGTTTGGATGAGGGTTGCGGCGACGTTGGGGCATGGGGTGGGTGAAGGGCAAGTCGATGAGCAGGGCAAGAAGCAAGGTGAGGAGCAGGGCGAAGGACAGGGGGTGGTTGGGGTGAGGAGGACGGAGATTGCGGTGTGTCGTAGGATGAGGAGGTGGTCTCCGAATATGATTGTCTGTAAATGTATCATTAGGTTGGGATAAAATGAAGAGGGAGGAAAAGACATACGTCATATGCTGGATCTAGGCCTTCCAATTTCCATGTTACGGCGATGTTGGAAGTGAGATTCCACAGGTACATGTGCATCTCCTCATCCAGCAAAACCACGCGATCTCCAGAAATCGCATGTAAATGAAGTGGCGCTTTCAAGCGCAGCCTTCTAATGAATTGAAACTGTGGCTTTGGCACTGCGGGGTGAATCTCAGATACCGAGATGGTCATTGATCTACAAAGTCGTCAGCATCTGCTGCACCACCACATAATCAAAAAGAACATACCCATTTGCCACAATGACGCGTAGCCCACTACATTCTGGTGCAGGCACTACGCCCAAAATCGACAACTTACTCCCATCTTCAGAAGCATGTTTCGCAATCGGCATTGTCGTCGTCATCTTCCGAGGTCCCTCCGTATTCAGACCTAAATCCCACAACGACAACCCGCCATGTTCCGTCAAGAGGAACCTCCCCCCAGGGACAAGGACGATCTCCGAACAATCGTCTTCATCCTCATCCACGAGTGCCCCTCCATAGGGATCAAACACGCGCGTGCGCGCGGGGGAGAGGGTGTTGGCGGGCGAAGAGTCCATGAGCGCGGAGAAGCGCCATGGGGAGAGTGCGGCTGATTCGAGGTGTCGTGCTGACATGGCGTCGATGGGGAAGGTGGGGGCGAAGAGACGGTGTGTGTGGCATGTGCGATGGAGGGCGGATCGCCAGACGGTGCGGGAGTGGGATGCGGTGTAGAGCGCTCTGCATGTCTGTTGGGGATGAGATGTGAGATCGTGGATGTAGATAGAGATAAGAGAGGAGACGTACTTTTCGAAGAGAGATGATATCGATTGGGTCGATTGAGGTTTGGATGAGGTAGGTGAGGAGGTCGGATGGGAGGTCTTGTAAGAACATTTTTTTCTTTTCCTTGCCTTGGTCAAGTCGATAGCGGTATTTGAGAGCAACAAACAGCAAAGAGTACTGCATTATATACTCAAGAGATGACAGCCTCAGAATGACAAGGACCCTTCATGTTTTGATGACGGTGATTGCTGCTGCGTGGTGTAATTGGGAAACGGTAATGTACGGCGTCAACACCGTCACCTCGAGTTCCTAGGAATGTCAGTATCCCTCCCAGTCGTCCTGAGTCCAGATGTGATTAACTGGGATGGCAAGATTCCATTGCCCTTCTAACTCCGCCGCACAGCAGCCGCTGCGGGACGGTACCGCCTCGATACGGATAGAGATAGAGTGGGCTCTGGGTGGGGTACACCTAATATGGAGATGAAGCAAAAAAAAAAGCATGGAAAGATCAGCACACCAAAAAAAAAAAATCTCTGGAAGGATCACGGATTCGACGTACGACAATGCACCGTGCTGCCTCCGCTGAGCCTTCCAATTCCAAGTTCCTGCAGGCTTGCTTGCTCCATTCAATAATAATCACGAGTTGCGTGGCTCGTTCCTTGCCTTCAGCAGCACCATCCATAAACGGATATATCTGAGCTTTGAGAGCGTGTCGAAGAACAGAGCTAGTAGGGCGCGCCTTCGAATGCTTAGGGTGTTCTTAAATTTGTCCTGCTTGGCGGTAGGTCGATGTAATCAGTGTCCATCCTACGATGATATCATCTGCCTTCACGCAAACAAGACTCAGTTGAAGACAAGACGAGTGGGGGAATTGAAAATTCAGCTGCTTTTGGCGACTCGAAATTCAAACAATTTCGTCATACGTCGAGTCACCAAAAACATTCAAAGACTGGCGGCGATTGGCGGCCTGTAGTAGACAACAACAACACTCAGTGCAGTTTGAATTGCGTGAAGATGTGACGTGTCGAAAAAAGTAGTAAGTACTATCTGATAACACCCGAAGTTGCGGGTGCATGGCAAACGCATTGCGCAAGTTCAACAACGTTAACGTTAACTTTGATATCGATGATATCGATGTAGATGTAGAGAGATGTAAGTAGATGTACATTGTATACTACTAGTAGATTGTCAGAGGACAGAACGTTATTCAACGAACAGCCATTGACACAATTGCATGTTGCAAAAACGTTGTCGCGGGTACGGATATGAAAAGGGCCTGCAGGGTGCTTCAAGTTGAATTCGCGGAAGTAGTACTTGCGAAGAATTGAATTGAATCGTCCACGACACTGCATTGAATTTGGCGGCACTTTGTATGTACGCATCGACGATATCGATATCTCCATACCACGCGTAAGTAGAAAGCATCAAATGATTGTAGATAGATAGAGATAGATAAAACCATAAGTCAAATAACCCAAAAGGATCCAGAAAAATTAAGAAGACCATTGAAAGTCTGCGATGTAGGTGCGTAAGTAATCAAGTAAGTATGCAAGTACAGCATCGTAAGTATAAAGTTTGCAAAGGTTGCAATTGTGCAAAGTGAAAAAAAGAGCGTGACGAAGGTCGTGAGTTGCGAATGAGAGTGCAAAAGAGTGGCCCAGGAAAAAGAGTCCGATAAGAATCGTGGTGCGCGTGAGGAATGCCAGTGGGGCGAGGGGGTACGGAAAAGAAGGAGGGAGGAAGGGAAGGAGGGGTGGGGTGCACGAGGTGGTGAAGATAATGTACAAGCTTGAAGTACACCGATACCAATCAATGTCCGAACGCGAAACGCGCTACTGATGTCCGTAATACCACTGCTGCTGCCGTTGCTGGTGGTGTTGATGACCCTCCACCGTGCTCACCGACTCATTCCCATCCTCATGAGTATACGCTGGCGGCGGAGGCACCAAATCCACACTACCCACATCAAACTCCCCCCTCCCCACTCCCTTCCTCGCCATAGCTTTCACTTCCATCTCTTTCTTCGACACGTTCGTCCGTGAACTCCAAGGTAAGAATGAAGTGGAGGAAGAGGGAGAAGGTATATCCGCCCGAGAACCCCAAGGCAGATACGACGTTGATGAAGAAGGGGAAGGTAGGACGTCGATGTCTGATACGCCGGAAGGCGTGAAGGGTGTTCTGGAGTCTGTGAAGTGCCATGCGCCGTCTGGGCGTCGAACGGCGATACGCATGTCGGAGCCTGGTGTGTGTTCTGTTGGATGGGTGGGGGGTTGGTTAGTAAGAGTCAAGAGTCAAGAGAGGGGCTGGAGGAAAAGGTGGAGAGGGGAATCAAAAAAGAAGGAAGGAAGACAGGAATGGGCGGGAGAACAATGAAAGTCGAAGGGAGATGAACAAAGAAGAAAAACAAACGCACGAAACCTCGGAACCACCCCCCCAGGACGCGTACTCTCCGAAGCAAACGGCGATATCTTCGAAGCAAGATGACTCCCATCCGCCGGAGAGCCATGATACGGCCCATAGCTGCCTCCACCCGCGCCCGTCGAGTTTGCCTGTTGACGGCGCTTAAGCCGTAGTGTTAGGTAGATGATGTACCCTATTAGAAGGAAGGCTGCGATGGAGAGGATGGTTATGGTTATTAGAGTTCGGGAGTCACTTTTTGGTGAGGCGTCGTATGGTTTGGAGGAGGAGGAGGAGGAAGCAGAGGCGGAGGTGGTGGAGGATGGGGAGGAGGAGGGGGACATGGGTGCCTGTTCTACCTGGACATTCATAATTAGCAAAAATACAAAGCCGACTGAACTAGGGGAAGTACGCACCAAGTTTATGTAAAGAATGTCAGAGCGAATGATCCACTAAGTAGCCTGAACGAAACGAGCGGCGTTCAAGGACTTCAAGTTGGTTGGCTGTGGTCGTAGTGGTCAACCGTCACAGTTGAAAGAGATTGACCGGAAAGGAATTCCTTCTCAGACCCTGCATGACAAGTTCACATGGAAAGGTAAATCAACATACCGGCATTGCAGACTCACCTTGTCCCTCGTGAATGAAACTAAAGAAAGAGGAGCTTGTCGTCGAACGTGCCACCGTGATGATGGATGTGGTTCAACTTCAAACCCAGAAACAAATTTCAAACGAGGGCAAGTTGATCATGCGCTCTTGTCCTCTATTCAACTCCTTCAACTACGCCCACAACGACTAAATACATATACGTCTGCAGGTGGGTCCACGAATTGAATACTTTGACTTTATTCGACTTTGGGTTAAGTACTACATATAGAGGACCAGACCATCTAGGGAAGACCAAAGATTGGAGGAACAATTCATACGCCCACCCCGACGTGAGCTACGAATCGCAGATGTTGACACCGAGGCACAACCTCGGGCTACTCCACCGACACCTTCATCATCCCTGTCAGTCATTTCGACCCATGTCCTCCCGCTCCCTGAATAGCGCTAACCGTCAGACCTTCAGACCTTCAGGCCTCAGGTCCAATAGGTTTGCGGTCTTCCCTCCCGCGGCGTAAGTGACGAGGACCAATTCCGCGGGACTTCGATCCACCACCACCAATGCTTCCTGGGGGGGGGGGGGGAGTCTAGATGCTATTTGTCGTAATTGCTTGACAGAGATGACGAGGCCCGCCATTCCGCCTCCCTTGACCTCCTCGAGGCTCATGAAAGCTGCGCCTCTTTTACACCGTGTTTCCCCAACTACTATTCAGCCCCAGCCACGAGGTGTGGTCTATTCCACTCTTCGTGGTCGAGATCCTCTTTTGCGCCGTGTTCATGATGATGACTATTTTTGTCTGAACCTGGTATTGGCGAGATAGACTGGGAGACGGCGGCTCAGCGTGCTGGACCTCGTCGGAACAGGCTTCCGTTGTGTCGAAGATCTCTTTGCCGGCAAGATGGGATGGATGTGTCGAGAGAAATGACGAGTCCTGCTATTTGGCATTCCATATGCTGGGTCCACGTTAGATGGTGTGTTACTTGTTTTGGAAGGACGATCATGAGGCAGCTGTAGACGATAAATTCAATATACGATATGCAATGAATTATGACATTATTACAAGACAGTCTGATCTAATCTAATACCAAAAACAACCTCAAGACTCGGAACCCATCTCCAACCCAACTCAAACCCCAATCCTAAACAACTCCTCACTCGCAATCCTCAACCTCTCAAGCTTCTTCCCCAACTCCGCCCTCCTATGCGCAACCCCCGAGCTCTCCTGAGCAAGCTCCTTCGAGATACGCGTCCCATCCTCCGAATTCACGCCCAAGCTCGTATACAGCGTGCTCAACAACCCACGCTCAACACCACGCACGAGCTCATGGTCAATCGCCAGTGGGACGTTGTCCACGAACCGTTTGTATGCCACTAAAAAAAGCAAGGAGTAATGATTAATGAGCACCGAGGAGAAGAACGAATACGGATATACGAACCCTGGAAATAAGCCCTGACATCCGCCATAATCACCAACGCAGGCTCCATCTTATCAGGCGGCAAGAGCTTCGGTATATCCTCCGGCTTCACACCCACCACCCCAAGCTCCGCCAACCCCGCCAGAACTTTCGCCATCCCCGTTTGCGCCGGTGGTGCAAAGGAAGATTGGAGTGGTGGGAAGGGGTCGGCTGTTGCTGCTGCTGGCGCTGCGAAGCTGAACCCGTTTCCGGGCGTTGACGAAAAAGAAAACGAGTTCGAGTTCGAGTTGGAGGAAGAAGTGTTGTTGTACGCCTGAATAGCCTTCATCAACGCGGACTGTTCGTCCCTCTCCCGAGCCCCTTTGTAGTACGACAAGAACTTGGCCTTGTAATCCGCCAAATAATGGTTGTTCAGCGAAAAGGGCTTGTCTTCGAGTTCGAGGAGCCAGTCGACTTTGTCTTCTGTGCGCTGGAGGCAGTCGTTTATGTGTTTTTGGATGATTGCTCTAGTAGGGATAGGTTTCAAGGAAAGTTCCAGACAGGCAAGGGAAACTAAACTGACTTGACGCGCTGCTCCAACGCCCCCTGCCCAAACTCTCCAAAATGGGCCTTAACAAGCTTCTTACAATGTTCCATAATCGTCGCATGAATAGTCTTGCACAGAATAATAGCAGGCTCGCGCCATTCCTTGATAATACTGTTGATAAAGGAAGATTGCACGACAAAGGGGTAGTTGCCCGGTAACTCTCTCGTGCGTGCTGTGGTAAAAGCGAATGAGTAAAATAAGGGAAGAAAAGGTGAAGGAAGGAAGACTAACCGATGCGCACGCTCATAAACCTCATCAATATAAATAGCATCATGACCAACCACATCCCCATGCTTCCTCTTCCGTCCCTCCCCAGTCCCCTCCGTTGTCTGTACCATTTGCTCCCCATCATCCTCATCCTCATCCTCTTCAACATCCCCCTCCCCCTCCTCAAAACTCAAAAACGCAGCAGGCTTCAACCCCCTCTCCCCCCTAAATTTCCTCTCAAAAGGTCTAAACCTCGGCGCAGTCCCCCTAACAGCCCTCCTAAACCTCTCCTGCGCAGGTCGGATAGCCTGCAACAACCCATCCTCATCGGGCACACCTTCCACATGCCTCGAAACGTCCGTCATAAATTCATGCAGGAGGGAAAGAATCTCATTGCGTGGGTCCGAGGAGGGCGCTTTGGGTAGGAGGGAGAGCGAGGATTGGGCTTTGTGAATGGATTTTTCGAGTTCGTCTTGGATTTTTGGGAGTCTGCGTACGCACCATCATCAGCCTTCACTCCAAAAAAGAAAGAAAAGGAAAGGAAGTGAAGGAAGAAGAAGACAAACCTCTTAGCAATCAAATCACTCAAAAGCGAACTCAACCTCTCCACCAAATTCCCCGTCCTCAAATACCGTTGATAAACACTATCAAGCCCACACCAAGGCTCCGTCATACTGAAAAAATCATCTTCCCTTTTCCGTGCGTCGCTCCAGGTAATGTGGTGTTTCAAGTCGTTGGAAGAAGGTTGTTTGACGCAGTACCAGTTGTTTTCGAGGGTTTCTTTTTCGTTACGGATGAAGGGGAGCCAATTGGATTCTTCGCCTAGTGGAATGCGGTCGGGTTTGGTTAGGACGCCGATGGTACGACGGCCTTCTGGGTCGTATTGCTTTGCGAGCCGGTGGGCACCTTGATTCTCAAAGTCGGCTTGTGCACAACGTCAGTATAAAGAAAAGAAAGAGCGAAGGGAGCATACTTTCACAAGCAACCGTTAAAAGAATAATACAGCTTGGTTTCTTGATGTACGACGTGACGAGGCTCTCCACGAGAGAAATATCATTCGCATGTCCGTGTGTGCTACTCACACTCGCAATCAACCCTACAAAATCAAAGAATGAGTTACCAAAATTCAAAAGGAAGCCGAGAAACTCACCGGGTAAATCGCAAAACGACAAATCCGCAACATCCGGCCCACTAATCTGCAACGAAACACAATTCATCGAAAAGCTCAACTCTTCCCCTTTACCCTTCCCCTCTCCCTCTTCCTCCTCGTCTCCCTCCAACAAAAAAGTCTTGCGTGATTTCTTAGGATTCAAAATCGCGCGTTGAGCACGCCGAATGCGGCCCTCTACTTCCGCTTTATCATATATCGTAGAACCGAAAACTTCGTTACGGGCTTGACCGAGCGGTTGGCCTTTGTTGTCGGTTATGAAGCGGAGGGAGACGGTGCATTGCCAGGGTGTTGAGGCGCGGGAGAGTCGACATTCGGTTGGGCAGCTAGGGGCGAGTTTTGGTTAACGACGGAGAAAGGAGGAGGAGGAAGGAAAGGGAAGACGTACCGGGTGCAGGTGCCAGCTGCGCGTGGGAGGGTTATACCTGAGATGGACTCGATTAGAGAGGATTTCCCCGCACTTTGGGAACCTATGACGGCTATTTGCGGAAGGTCGATGTCAACTTGCACACTGTCATGACATGAGTTAGTGAGCCACTGCGGTGAAAAAGGGAAAAGTAGAAAGAGGCGTACCCGGTACTATGCAACCTATTGACTAAGTCCAACATCTGTCGTCTACCTTGGGACAGCTGTGCGTTTGAAAGACCAACACTGTCGTTTTGAGCAGAGGTGCCGCCATTCACGGCTGGTTTATTCGGCGTGCTGTTGCCATTCGCGGGTGGTTTGATCGCTGACGCGCCGTTCTGCTGAGAGGGCGTTGCTGGCGCCCCATTTACGTTCGCAGGTCGCGTCTTCTGCGTCTGCGGTGGAACCGCCTGTCCAGACACTCGTGCTGGCAGGCTTTTGACAGTTCGCGCAGCGGCAGCTGGTGTGGATTGTGCCACTGACGCGCTTTTCTTGGCGACTGGAGCGGGTTGAGGGACGTCCTCGGTTTCGGAAGAACTCGCGTCGGATTCTTGCATTCTTGAGGATTCGGCATTGCAGTCGTCGGTGTCGGAAGAGCTCGCGTCGTTTTCGGGCATTTTTGAAGTGGGAATTGAAAGATGAAAGCGAGTTGTACCTAGGGACGTTCTTTTTATCCTTTGATGTTTTTGTGTGTGATTCAAACGATACCTTTGTGGGAGGCGAAACGACGAGAGGTGACAGGAGAGGCTAGTCAAAGGCGGGTGAAACAAAGAGCGAAAAAATGGAGAGCTCGCCAGCAAAACTTATATTATTGGATCGGTGAATTGAATGGACACCGTTTGCCACTCGATTCGGACTGACATTAGGGTTTACTTACAGCATAAGTACTTACAAGTAGAAATCCTGTTATACACCAGTTCAATGCCTTCAAATTCATTATCGAGGAAGGTGTCGACAGCCTAGAAAACGGGTTCCCCGCCCTTCGGTAGCAATGACAGCAAATAAAGCATTCTTTGCAAGTCTTCAACTTCGCGCAATGATTGGGAGCGTTCCCACAGCTCCTCGGCATGCTTGCAGATAAGAAGGCCTCTACATTCGCTGATCAATCCCTCTCGCGTTTGTGGATTGAGATACGCAACAACTCGATCCTCTTCCTCTTGCAGGCGCTCTTCCACTTTTTTTAGGTAATCTGATAGACGGTTGGCTCCCAAGAACAATTCAGATTCTCGTTCGTAGAATCTCTGAGTCGCATCGAGGAAGGGCACTTCAAATTGCTCTTTGTAGACGTCGAGGCATGGCTTGTTGAGGTTGCTGTTGTCTAGACCAAGTGAAATGAAGGAGTCGAGGACCTTTTTCACCAGGCCTTGGTCGATGGTGGCTCCGTTTCTCTCCGCCTCAATCAGTTTGAGGAGAGCACTCGTTAAGTTCGTCTTCTTATTATGTTGGAAGGGGAGGAATACATTGTCTTTCCACTGAACCATAGCAAGCTTAAGGGATCACCGGGTCATCGAGTTGAAAATATTGTCATTCGAAGTAATGCTCACAGTAAACACCGGATACACTCCCCTTTGTCCCTTGCACCTCGCTTGATTCACATAGAAACGATTCAAATAGGAAAAAACCCGACCGACACAGCTCGCGCCGTCGACATACCGGTCCCATTCCTCGGCGTAATACCGCAGAAGAGCCTGGTCACGCAGCTTATCTGCTTTCTGTACAAGTTATACTGAGTCAGTAAATGGGGCTTCGTAAAGAGTAAAACACTAACATCCAAGATGCACGCCGAGTGGCATGTAAAGTAACGGACTAGCAGTAGATACGGAGCAACTACCTTCTTCTTAACGTCCAAGGGTCTCAGGCTCTCTGTGAGTTGGTCAGCACATGCATCTCAAGTACAATCTAACTAGCGACTAACTGGCCCAGTCAGGCCTCCCTGTAAATCATTCAGCGCATGGATATCAAGAACACAACAAGTAGCCACCCACCTTTGTTGCCTTCATTCCCGTCGGATTCTGGTGGGCCCCTATCATTCTTGAGACCACCGGACGTCGTTGTGTAGTTATACAACGTGGTACACAACGATGAATACTATCATATCACAGTTATCAGCTGATCTTTACAAGTAATGAGTAGATTACCCTGTAAGGGGAGATATCGGCTCGTCCCTTCGTCATAATTTGATCTACACCTTCTTCGAGGAAATCCAACATTGTGACAAATTTCGCTGTTTCTGAGGGCATACGGGGGTCATTGGCGGCGGCCATGATGGTGGTGTATGGGACAATCTGTTATCAGATCACGCAAATAAAGCTGAGCGCTTGATGTGTTCTAGAGAATCCAGTGGTGCGAATTAGAGTCACCAGGTGACGTGCCAGAATGATCGATCATAAAGCCTATACGAACCAGCGTCTAATGAGAAGCAAAATGGGACGTGAAAGGAGCATCACTTACACAGTTACACGATAGCAATGTTTGTTAGGTATGCGTATGTTCCTCCAGATATGAGGAAATGGCACAGCAGAGGAAACATTCTTTGTAGGTCTTCGTCTCTGCGCAATGATTGGGAGATTTCCCACATCTCGTCAGAATGCTCGCAGGTAAGAAGGCCTCTACATTTGCCGATCAACGCCCCTCGCGTCTGTGGATTGAGATATGCATCAACTCGATCCTCAGCGTCGGCATCTAGCACCAGAAGGTTTGAGTACGTACTTCAAGGACATGATAGCAACTCACCCCCGCTTATTGCTCCAGTGGATCCTGATGAGCCTTCCTGTGGCATCTCGCAAATCCTGCAGTAGTTGACCACCAGTAACATGAGCTACCACGTCTTGGTGAGTAGAGTGTTGAGCGTATAGTGATGAGTGGATTACCCTCCAATAGGAACCATCGGCGGTCCTGCCAGTCGTCATCGTGTGATCGAATCCTTCTTTCAAGAACTTAAAAGCCCATAGCGAGGTCCGCAGAGGCTGGAGGCATTGCGAAATAATAGTTGGCAGCGGCCATGACGTGGTCGTCTTATAATCGAAACCAGGTCGGCTAACCCGGGCTGTGCTCATGTGAGCCTACTGTCGAAGGACATTATGATCGAGGTGCAGTTAAGAGGCGATAATCAAGGTCTCGCAGCAGAGGTGTGTGTTTGAGAAGCTGGAGAAGGTGCGAATCAGTTGGAAGTTACTTCATAGTCATTACTGCACTGGCTGTTTTGTGCACATCATCCTCTTGAGCTGCTTTAAGTCCCCCTCCAAGGTTAGAGGTGTTGAGGTTGATCAAAAAAGAGTGGCTTTCACCAAGTTTTCACCGTGGAAAAATAAAATGCACTTCTTTGGAAGTTCTACATGCAACCACCTTGGGCGTAGGAGTCTGCTCACTGTCAAGCCCACATATCCATAGCCGCTCATGCAAGATAAATGGTCATTGACTGTCTCGTCCTGGGTTGGTCCTGGGCGCCGATGGTGTGGCATTTACACGCCGAAATGTTCCTGGGCCTTGAACGAGTTTTGGACCCTCTCAATCTCAGTCAATCTCTCACAACTCACAATCTGACGATTTGAAATTCGCGTTTATCGAAAAACTGGCACCCCCATCGCGTCTGGAACCCTCAATTGTACAAGTGTTTGTTCTGGCAGTTTGAGTAAAATTTGGCGCTCACTCTTACCGCCAACGTCCACGATGGTATTTACTGACTTTTTGTTCTTGCCATAGCTAAGACTAGACTCAATGTTGTTGCTGAGTCATTCGTATGGTCTTCTTCGAGGCTCAGCTCAATCGTAAGCCGAGACCAACATGATGGTACGTCATACTGTGTTTTCAATCATTCGCAGCCCATGACTCTGTGTGCAGACATAGGTATCCTCTGCCGCATCCTTCATGTGCATCTTCCTGTCTCCAAATAGCCCAAATAAAGATCACCTGCCCATCCTTCCAAACCAATGTGCGATGTGGTCTGCCGCTCTGGACCAGTCTGGATCCTTACAATGCGGCTTATATGCTGAGCTCTTAACTCCGTTCCCTTGTACCCCTGCACCAATCCCCCTCGATGCTCCTTCAAAAGATCAGCTGTTGCACCCATCCTTCCAGACCAATGTGCGATGTGGTCTGCCGCTCCGGACCAGTCTTAATCCTTTCAATCGGCCTATACTTATGCTTGGCTCTGACTAACTCCCTCGTACAAACATGACCTCTGCGCCAATTCCCTTCGACGCGACCTCTCCTTCAGAAGATCAGCTGTTGCACCTGCCCATCCTTCCAGACCAATGTGCGATGTGGTCTGCCACTCTGGATCAGTCTGGATCCTTTCAATGCGACTTATATGCTGAGCTCTGACCAACTCCGTTCCCTCGTACAAACATGACTTCTGCGCCAATTCCCCTCGATACGATCTCTTCTTCAGAACAAATGCCGATGACAACCCCCATGTCACTAGTAGGCCCTCCAATGACGGATGTACAAGATACAGCGGGTCCCTCACAAACTGAGCACAAGGCCAGCCGTTTGAGAGGGGGTTGTATGGACTCCGCAACCTGGGATGAGATGGGCTGCTGCGAGAAATTCCTGTGGTGCCAGTTCTGCTCGCCGTTCTATTTGATATACTATATTTTGTATGCGATTTTCTTTTTCACTGAGCCCAGTCTCTAATCGGGTGGCTTGGTGATCTAGCGTCATCGCCTGCAAAAGCTGCGATGAGACAAGCGCCGAAAGGGAAGCCAAAGAGGAGGAGGAACGACAGCGAAGGTCGCATGCAGGGCACTGTGAACCGTGGACACGCTAGCACTGTGGGCGATGGAGATTAGTGTTGCGTATAAAACTCCGCCTGGTGTATAAAATACTGTAATGCCCGTTGAATGCTCTACGCCTGTTTGTACTAGTAGCCCTTTTGCATTTGTCTGGCTTCCGCTTTGTCATCGTGAAAGGTGGGCTGCGCTGCCCACGCAAGGGGCTGCGTGGAGCGAACCACTGTGCAACCTCTCAACTTGCGTCTTCCTCCACCCGCATAGCTTCTTTAACCGGTGTACTTATCCTGCCTGCTTCGGAGTCAACAATCACATTTGCAGGCATCTGGTCATTTCTAGTCTCAAACTTCCTTGACGTTTTGCCTTTTGATTGCCTGTTACTTATCTTCATTCCTCCTGTTATGCACTTTGATCACCTCTATGAATAGTTTCCAACCGGATCTGGATTTACTAGTGAGCGCCAGGATCTCCGGCAGCGACGGTTTTGTCGCAGGAGGGAAGAAGCGGAGGAAGCCGAAGTAACCACCAACGATCGCTTTTGAACTTAGTATCTGGCGTCAATGCAGCTACGACGGAGATTTGGATAGAGTAAGTCAAAGACCGGCGGTATGTCATACGAAGGTTTGGATTTCTTTTCTTTTGTATCATTTTCAATGCTGATGCCGCATAGGATAGAATGGCCTCCCTCTTCGTGCCCTTGACCTCAGGCGTCGTCACTAGAAGTTATAGTACCCGAAGCCTCAGGTCCCCCATTTTGCACGCCGACGGTTAATCTGATGAAATGTATGGCATCGTACCCTTCAATACAAGAGAGGCTAAACGTACAAGGTCCCCTGTTTGATATTGGGGTTTCACAGATGCACAGCTAGACGATGAAGGCGACCACCATGCTATCATGCAGGTGAGCCTTTCCCCCCCCCCCGCAACTTGACTTCTCAAGGCCAGCTAGATCCGACTCATGATCAATACCAACTAGCCATGCTTGTATTTGTCTTGATACTTAACGAGTCTCCGCGGTGAGTCCCCAGCTGATACTCGCACCTCAAGGTTGTCCCTTGCCTTCCCCGCTAGGCAATGAGTCACGACGCATTGACGATCATCGCGGCACGAGCTTGATTTTCTTCCTCTCCTCTACTTCTGCATCCAGGAACATTTTTCTCTCCATACTAAAATTAGATGCGCCATAATCAGAGCCAACTCAAGGCCTAAACGACGCATAAGTGGCTCATGACGCGTAATTCCTGTGCTCGTCACCGTATGGTTGCGGTGCAGATCTGGTTCAAACTGGTCTCGTGCCGCGGGGTAGAAGACTAAGATAGGTCATGGGGGTTGGTATCAATAGGCTCAAGGCTTCTATGATTATTGCGGTATTTTTTTGGAGGGAATCGCCCGTTATCTGATAAGATATAGATAGAGTTGATGATGTCAGTGCCGTAAGGTGACAGTTGTTCCTGTCCGATTCGGTGGCAGTTTGAGTAAAATTTAGCGCTCACTCTTACCGCCAACGTCCACGATGGTATTCACTGACTCTTGTTTCCAGCTTATATCATAACGCGATGTCTTCGAGTTACTGGGCGAGAACGCACTAATTTCAGTTATGCAGCACGTCGGGTCTTGTGACCGACGGAACTGAACGCGTGTGGCATGCGGTACATCGTCATGCCCCCAATCCCTTAGTTTCACCGCCATTTCCCTGCACACACCGGCTGCCTCTTCGTCGAGCTCGCATGTCATTTGTTAGCTTTAGGCAACCCACCTTCGAAGAATCTGAAGAGCTATAAATCGATATCAGCTGGGGAAACAATGCCGCTCCTAACCTACCACAGCGCCTTGCCGCTGGATCTCTGGGATATAGTCCAATCTTTTATTGATGCGATGTGCGGATTATTGTGGTATCTTACCGCCTTTCTCGCCTCCAGCATTTATCTCCCCAATGGAGGCGTCGTCACCCCTGCACATGCGCAGTACCTTTTAGGATTGGGTGAGTCCCTTCATTCTATTACGATTCTTTCGCGAAAGGCTAATCGCAAGGTGTATTCCCCCAGGAATCGGGGACATAACAGGGTGAATCACCTTTACTCGTAGGGGAAGCTGGGCATGACACTGACTTTTTGTTGGCTTACTTGAAGGCCGGTGGTAGAGACGAACATGATGGTACTACATTTCATTTCTGACAAGGGCTACGCGTTAACTAAGTGTTCTGCAGGGTTATGCCTCACTAGCCCAGACAGATACCGGCCTTCACATGAGAGAGCGTAGCCGCGCTTTCATCGTTGCCGACGCGGCAACGCCAAACAATAGAATCGTTTTTATCAATGCTGGTACGTCCTCGAGTATTCTCTGCAGTGTATGAGGGGCCACGACAGCTACCCAAGCCGAAGAGCCGCTACACTAACACTGGTTCTCTTCTAGACATCGCGATGGGTGACAGTGGGGTGCACCGCTCCATTGTCTCACAACTCTCATCTCAATACCCGGGCCTGTACACGGACGCCAACATCGCCTTCGTTGGCACGCACCAGCACGCTGGTGTTGGTGGATACCTCGAGAACCTTCTTCCCCAAGTCACCTCCTTAGGCTACGTAAAACAAACAGCAGACGCCATCATTGCGGGCACCGTTCTCGCAGTGCAAAGGGCCCATGCGAGCTTGGCCCCGGGAAAATTGAGCCTGGGCAATACGACAATACTGAATGCTAACATTAACCGCTCGCCAACCGCCTACCTTGCGAACCCTGCGGAGGAAAGGGCGAGGTACCAGTACGACCAAGATAAGGAGATGACACTCTTACGATTTGATGACACCAATGGCAAGGCGAGGGGGTTTCTGAGTTTCTTTGCTGTTCATGGTACGAGCTTGTATGAGGTGCGTATTTGTCTTTTAAATTTGAATTCTAAGCGAGGCCGACGCTGATATTGGACGATTAGAATAATACACTGGTCAGCGCGGACAACAAGGGCATGGCTGCATATTTGTACGAAGGTCCGTACCATTTCTTCTTTCGGTCTGATGACATGCTAAATTAGGATTACAACAGCCGAGGTAGAACCATATTCAATGCCCGGGAATACAACTTTTGTAGCTGGGTTTACGCAAGGTAAACACTCAATTACAGTGTCATCTCTTTTCTACCTTCTGAATATGCATCCCGCTAGCCAACGTCGGTGATACATCTCCCAACACGTCCGTCCGTTTTTTCACAAATTGACATCATTCGCATTAACCCCCTTCATCAATATCACAGCCTCGGCGCGTTCTGTGAAAGCCCTGGAAAGCCGTACGACGGACTCCCTTGTGATTCAGACCATTCAACTTGCGGAGGGAAAGCTCAAGATTGCCATGGGCGGTGCGTCCTGTTTTTTTTTGTGTTGTCCAGGTACGCTAACGCGTCGATCCCGCAGAGGGCCAGGTTTCAGAATCTCTGATTTTGAGTCAAGTAGGATCATCGGAGATCTTCAATTCCGTGGTGCCCAAACGATAATGAACGGCCCCCTGGCTCCAGTAACGGGCGCTGTCAAGAGCGCTCACACCTATCTGGCCATGTATGTTTTGGGCTCAGGAACATCGTGATTTGTCTTTTGCGTTCTAACACAGCTTTAATTGGCAAGGGCGAATCATCAGTTTACACTTCCGAATGGCACCACCGTTTCTACATGCCCAGCTGCGTTGGGTGAGTTGCGTTTGCTTTGCTTTCATCGTTCGTTGCCAGAGGGGAGCTAAACGTCTATCTCTAGGCTTTGGATTCGCTGGGGGCACAACGTAAGTCGGGCACCAGGGACCTCCCGCGCTTTACTCAATGTTGTTGAGAAAGGGACGGCCCAGGCGCATTCAACTTCATACAAGGCACTAACTCCTCCCAACCTCGGTACGTGAAGAAGAGGGTACCTGTCATCTCAAGCGCTAATCTTGTTCATCTGACAGGAATCCGTTTTGGGAGATTGTAAAAGGTTAATTGTTCCGTTTTCTACACCCAATCAATGAAAAGACTGACAGATCTCTGCCTTTTCCTCCTTATCACATTGCCCCTTAAGGTGTCGTGACCCCTTTCCCTTCCGCCGAACAAAGGGCGTGTCAGAATCCTAAGCCGATCTTGTTGAATACGGTTAGTACCCCCGTTGGCTGCTCTACCCCCGTTCCTGCGCGTTTGATAGACGCTGATGATCACGATGTTTATGATTGACTTGTAGGGGTTCGCACATCAACCGTACGAATGGTCAGCGAACAGTGTCAATATACAGATGCTTCGCGTTGGAAACTTTGGTGCGTAGAAGTTCATCGTAACTAGTAATGCGAGGATGTTGCGCGCTGATAATTTATCATTTGATCAGTGATGCTTGTTATACCTGGTAGGTGTAGCTATTATCGCTTGATCATACCTAATTGAGCACTGTGATCGTTGTGGGTTTCAATTTGTATAGGCGAGTTAACGACCATGGCGGGAAGAAGGATACGGTATGTTTATTCATCAGCTCCTCGACTTGCATCCTCCACGATAATTATGTGTGTTTGCCCTGCACCCGTGGATCTTTTCATTTGCCGGCTTATCACCTCTTTTCCATAGACTTCTTCTCCAACTATCTACTTTTGTGACATTCACTCACCTGACCTACTGTTCTACTCAGGGAAGCTCTGCGCGCCAAACTGATCTCCTCAGGCGTCCTCGGCTCGGATGCTTATATCGTCGTTGCGGGTCCCGCCAATGTTTATGCTCACTACATCACTACTCGCGAAGAGTACAGTGTCCAAAGATATGAGGGCGCTAGTACGATTTTTGGCCAATGTGAGCACGCTTTATTTTGATTCTTTCTTTGTTTCACTTGGCACCTCGTCCTTGCCATCATGTCCCTTGACCGGCTCTTGGTGGATTCCTTCTCTTTACCCAGAATTCCTTATCCTGCGCAGCAAATGAGCTAATCCCGTGTGATCCGACCCTCCGGTCTGCTTTATGTCATAGTCACCCTGGACGCCTACATCGACAAGTACTCCAGCCTTGTACCCTTTCTCGCAGATAATGCAAAGGATACTCCAGCATCTGATCCGGCCCCATCCGAGCAACTCTCCAAGGCTATCTCACTCCAGGTATTATTTATTCGCACGTTCGATATTCCGGATCCAAAAGATCATCCTCCGTCTGATCTAGACTGGTGTCGTTTTTGATGCTGCCCCCATTGGCAAGAAAATTGGAGCGACTTTATCCGACGTGAATACCGCGGCTCCATATCATGCAGGAAATACTGTATCGGCCGAGTTCGTCGGGGCCAATCCCCGGGTAGAAACAAGGCTTTCGCAATCATAACTAGATTCATGAGCTAACGATCGTCTTTCGCAGAATAATCTCCGATTGGAGAGTACTTTCCTCACAGTTGATCAGATGATTTCGGGTCAGTGGAAGACAGTGAGATCAGACTCCCACCCATCGACGATCTATCAGTGGAAAAGAACCAGCACCGTGAGTTGTTCAGCTGTGTGTGGTTCTTTGACTTTGCTCTGATGCTTATCAGGTTCTTGGGACCAGCACCGTTACTATTTCATGGTAAGCAATTTATCTTTATTCACTCCTCTCTTACTTGATTCCTCCGGTACAGGACGATTGAAAATGGAACGCCGCGTGAGGAATCTTCTATTCGTTTGGTATTGTCTTTTTATTAACGCGATATTCAAGCTGGCACCTATCGCCTCAGTTACTTCGGAGACTATAAACCTCTGATTGGCGCCGTCTCTGCGTTTACGGGAACTTCCTCATCGTTCACCATTTCCTAATATGACATCTTACGATTGTATGTTGACGACCTCACTGTGTTTTCTTGTAACTGTAATTGTCTATCGCCGATTTCTAATTGTATAACAACCCTAGCTGCTGGGCTTCAAATTTTGTACAGATCGAGAAAGATTGCCTGTGTGTGTCCACCTCGAGGTTCCCATGCGGCTTGACTCCTGAGGCGTTAAGGAGTGCTGTTATCGTCAAGCTTGCGTCTCTTCGACCCTCACTCTATTCAGCATTCAAACATGTTTGGTCATTTCGCAAGACAGCTCACCACCGCAGCGACTGATGCAGATGCCAAGAAAGTCATGTCTCCCACTCTGCGCGCGGACGTGTACAGCGCTGTTGACCAAGCCAAATCCTGGGTCGCTGGTGGACAAGGCGGTGGCCAGGCTGGAGACGGTGTTTCGTACGGACCCATTCTAGCGATCATCCAGAAGCATTTCCCGGCAACCAAAATAGGACTAGAGTCGGTTGGGAATGTGGAGAGCGAAGTCGCTATTATCGTGGGGGGAGTGACAAATATGATTCTGGAGTTCAGTAAATGGGAGGGGATGGCCGGCGGGATGGCGATACGCACCTGGGTCGACGCGCTTGTCGATGCGCATGCCAAGGCCGTGGTAAGCGCTCGCTCAGTCGGCGCGGCGAGGAAGGACATGGTTGCGAAAGGGATCACAAAGGGTCTTAACCAGAACACCGACATAACGCTCATGACGAAGGAATTTACATCGAAGATCCAGATTATTTCCTGTTTGAAAAGCGGTGAGGGATCATTTTCTTCTCTTCGCCCCGTTTTTCGGGCCGCATCTTGTCCACCATATTTTTTTTCCTTCTGAACCTTATGCCAATGTGTCTTCGCATTGACTTGATACCTTTTGCAGTTAGCTCGCGAATTTATGGCGCTGGAACCGATGAGGCTAGGCAGGGGGAAGCTGTGTGGAGTTCCAAATTTATCTGAGAAGTTCCACGGGTTCACATGCTGAATACATTGATTTGTGTCCAAAAGACAGGAAGGTGGAGCTTAGAGGCTCTTGAGAAATTACACTAACAGGATAGATAAACGGGTATGTGGATCCGAAAAGTAAATGACTGTTGATGAAGATGCGTGATGTGTTAATTATCTGGATAGGGTGTATGTTAGGACTGCCGGCCATGAGGTAGAGAGAAGGGGCACGCACGCAATGAAATAGCTAGAAAAACAAGAAAGCGAGGGCGCGAGTAGTGAGAGTTGGATTGATATAGTCCTATGAATACACAGGCTACTTTTACATGATTTTTACTGACGGAAAGGAAAAAAAATCAGCGGACTCATTTTGAATGAGTTAAAAGGAACTCACGTAGTTGAATACATCGCCCGAAAACGAGGTGGAAGTGGGGGAAATGGGCGAGATTACAGAGTCGTCACTCCCGAAATCGGAGTGTCCTTGGTCATATTGAATGGGGCTGGGGTGATAGGTCGATGTCTGGGCTGAGCTGGAGCCCGAGCTCCACCCTCCCTCGACGTAAGTGTCCGACAGATAGTATCCATGGGTTTTTGAGTCAAACGCGGGAATATCAGTGAATCCGTCCGCGTCCATAGTGAGGAGGGAATCAAAAGAGAACTCCAACTCCGGATCTTTTTGCGAAGCCGGTTGAACGGCGGCGGCGGAGGGGGTAGAAATATAAGGACAGGATACGTAGGTAAATTTGAACATGGCAGAAAATAAGGTACAGGGCGGGGACGAGGCTGACGAGTCTTGGACAACACGTTGCACGATTGTATATTGAGTGGGGTCTTAGAAGGATAAGTCAGTAATATCCTCACTAATGGATGGAGGCACGACAATTTACCTGGACTTTGAACCAGGCTACGCCAGAATCCTGGAACTAACGTAGTGCTATACAGGCAACTCGACGAGTTGTCGAAGTCGAAATCACCTGGTGGTGGGCCCAAGGGCTTGAGCGAGGTAACCTCTGAGTAGACGACATCCTCTCCAGAGTAGACGGTAAAGAAGGAGCGTGCAGAGGTAGTAGACTTGGAAAGAAGCGTAATAGTCGAGTCGATGTCGTGTAAGTGGCGAGGGAACGGAGATGCGCGGGAGATCTGGAAGCCGCGCTCCTTCCACAGGTGTTCCTCTTCACTATGTGACGATGAAGGTCCAGCTGAAGGATGTGGGATAAGATCGATGAAGACAATTGAATTTGGGAGTTCTGTTGAACGGCTCTCGACCCCGCGATAAAGTAGGCTTTGCAATGTCGCATGGGCGTCGGTCGGCGTGGTAGGCGAGTTCGGAGGAGAGGTGTCGCTTCCTGACTCGGAATCATGGCGGAGAGGTGGGGGGCCCCTGAAATTTGAAGGGCCAGCTACGTCCTGTAATTCCGGGGAAAGTGACAAGGAGGCTGGGCGGGCCAGAGGTCTATTGGGCGTTAGAAGCTTGAGCACTATCGGACAAGTTGAATTAGCTCGGACGTCATGCAGACGTACGGTAGCGTTGGGGGACCTACATCGTTTTCCCCCACACGTATCCCTGAGCTGTTGCAAACGGCTGCCAACTTGCTTAGCTGTGCGCCGTTTTCCCGTCTTTTCGTATATCCAGTCCGAGATGAAGCGGTTCCGCATCGGAAACCGCCCCAGCAGTCGAGTTTCTCTAGAGTCATCTGGCTGGTAGTTTTCCAAACCTATTTTGTTGATTTAATTTGATTGAGCACGATGAAGACGGTGGCGAGCGCACATCAGGCACGCACCTTCAATCAAAGCGCTCTCAAGCTCTGGCGGCCATACGATTTCCCCTCCCCTGGCTGTCTTCCAGCTCTTCCTGCCCTTGATAATTGATTGAAAGACATCATCGGTACGTCGGTTGACGGATGTGGGTGTGTCTGCGGGTGATTCGGTGCGGGATGAGGATAGCTTCACGGAGGAAATGGAGGAGGTCGACAAGCGAGGGTTGGACCTGGAAGACCGTGTTGCAGCCATGAAAGAAGGTTTTGAGTGCTCCGAGGAAGAAAACGAAGATAAGAGGCTTGAGTTCCGTGTTGTTTATATTCCCAACCTGAAATGGCGGATGCGAAAGATCCCCGCGATTTATCGTCATAAGTACATAAATCCATTATTCGGCTGAACGGCGGATTATCACATCAGGGTTCGAAGAGATCTTGCCAGCCTATAGTTGGTTTAGTCCAAAGAAGGCAAGGTTAACTATAAGACCTCCCGAGATCTTGGAAAGTACTTACCCTCGGTCGATCGAAGATTCATCAGTAGAACGTGGCTGTCACCGCCAACCTCCTTACCCGCACATTGCCTGGGACTGCCATCATACCCAACCTATTTTTCCTTGATGCTAGTGCGTCCGAGTCATCCCGCCGACTCGACCTTCAGGCTTCAGTCCCTCAAGACACTTCCTGATACTTGACCGGGAATTTCGTGGGTCTTGCCAATTAATTCCGAACCCTCCGATGCGGCGTTTGGCTTTTCTGCAATCAATCTTGACTATGTTATTTTCAGAAGTCGCTCACAACTCGCATCGATCTCGATTGCATTTATCGCACCGCCACCCGGTATTGATCGCGCGCCGTATTCGCGAATGGGGAAGGTGACCCCTTGTAATGGGTGACTTTCCGTAACTCAAATCTATAAAAATGAATAAATTTGACCCTTATCGGAGTTTGAAAAGAGAACTTCACAGGAGAGTTTATTGGAGTGAATAAACCGTAACGCCAACTGATTAGATTCTATTTGATGTATTTGCTTGCCTTATACAAACTCACTTCCCATCTGAGCTGCTCTGAGGTCGTGTAGGCCCGTGGATGGGTTTATTATACTGATTGTTCATCCACCCTGCTGTAAAATTAGACCACACTCTGGGTGAAGCCCAAAAAATCCCAAGTTGAGCTGAACATGGCTGTGGATCAGTGAGTTAGGTGTCAAGAAGGGTGTTTGTAAAGGGAGCAACAGTTTCCGGGAGGGGATTTTGTAGCCATAAGACATTGACACTTCTAATAGACTCTGTAGTGGCTTTGAACTGCAACGAGAGGGAGCAGAATGCCCCAGCCGTAGGAGAGTAGTAGGGGATGAGGTAGAGCTGACTAAGCCATGTGGGAAGGAATCGTACCCAGGAAGGAAAGGTGTCCCCTTGGCAGGGTTGATTCCAGCGTTTGAAATCTGTTCGAGGGGTCTGTACCCTCTGAATAGATTAAGGTTTGTAACTGGGTTCCAACCAGGGACTCCATCAAAGTCGAACCCTTACAAGACTCGGCATCCCGGCAAAGGACCCTAGATTTCGTCGATTTATTCAAATCTAGAGAATTTGTGTTACGGAAAGTCACCCAATCTGCTTCCAGAATCCACGCTCATCAAATTGACGAAAGTTACCGAAAGTGTTTGTGTCACGTTCTGTCGTGGCCATACAGCTGGGTCTAAATTTCCGGCCCCTCTGCGGTTCGACATCATTAGCACCAAGCTCGCGAAGAGGAAGATAGACCTCTTTTTTCCCTCCCATTGGAAAGGCATGGTTAGATTAATGTCGGCAGCCATATTAAATACTAGATAGGCGTATTGTAATGATCAGCATAGGCTCAAGATATGCAGTGTTCGGGACGGGTACCAACCATCCCGGTGATATCATAGTCGGTTCTCCTCCTCTTCCTATGTGTTCGTCAGCTTCAGGCTGTTCGAGGCGGTAAACATGAGTATTCCTGAAACGAGAAGAAAACGGAGGAGGTACTTGAGCGAGTGAAACAACAAGAACGACACCTATCCTCGATTCTACACGTTGAGTGTTCGCACATTTGTGACGTTATTGGGTTACAAGCGTTCAACCCTTGTAAGTTAAGAATAGGGAGCAACTCTGGGAGAAAATGGGCATGCGTACCGGTATTCGGATCGCGTCCATGGCCAAAATGGTATACAAACACGCAGAAAGCGGTCTTATGATCCTTGCCCTTCACTGTAAAGTTTGACGCATTGTAATTTAGCGACTTCACTTTCCTCGCGTCGACTTCAGCGACTCACGGATAATATTTCAGCCAGTCAATTAAGCGGGAGGAGCTCGGTCGATGCGTGAGTAAAGATGACGGCTAGTGAGAGAGCCCCGATCGCAGCGTCGGTTTGAACCGCAGAAGCCAGTGAAGAAGCCGCCCAGAAGCCTCGCTTAGCTGTTGGTTCCCAAAGTTGTCAATCATATGAGGGAAAGATCCCTAATGGCCTTGGTAATCTTCTCCATCCAGAAATAACCTAGAAGAAGGTAAGGAGTGGCACAATAACTCAGTAACGAGCCGTATTATTGCAGACCTATCCACATTGGTCTCGGATGCCAACAAGAATCGTTCCGTTGATCGGGGCAATTGCATATGTTTCTCGCGTCCGCACTCCCTCCCAAGAGTGGTAAAGTCTACCACTACACTATGAAGGAGTGTCAGCGTGGGGTTATTTTTTAACTGCATTCCGTGGCACCACAACGTGAGGGAAAACAGTACTTTTTCGCATTCTGCCCGAAGGAGGAGGGTCGAGAAAGCCCAAGGGTCCAGCAGCAAGGTTTTACGAAGTGCGTCGTGTGGGAAACGTTTGAGTCAGAAGATATTCTACGGGCTGACCCAGGGTGTCGTTTCGCTTGGTGAAATCCAAGGCATGCCGATTCCATCGCCCAGAGAAGCCCCGAGAACAAGTAACAAAGACGTTCTTCACCTTTGAAGCTGGTTCCCAACACCCGTTCAAGAACGGGCGAGTCAGCTAAGGGCCCGGGTGTCCTGGTCCAAAACCTAAGTATATGCGCCGATCCTTGTCGCTTGATCAAAGCAGGTAAATTGTCCAGCGTTCTCCTGCGTCACCGAGAGTCATTGCAATTGCCAGCCATTGTCTGTCATTGTTCCACGCTGCCGAGCCAAGTTGAGTTTGGTCAGGGTGTCAAATCAAAGGGTGCGTGGGAACAACACCTCACGTCAAAATGACCTAGTCTACTGAACTTACTCTCTGAAGCGAATAATCATTTTCTCTGACAGTGGTTCGTCTTTCTTCTCTCTCGAATATCTTCCTACTGGGTGACTTCCCATAACATAAATTTGCTAGATTTAAATAAATCGACGAGATCTAGGGTCTTTTGCCGGGATGCCGAGTTTTGTAAGGGTTCGACTTTGATGGAGGCCCCGGTTGGCACCCAGTTATAAACCTTAATCTATTCAGAGGGTACAGACCCCTCGAATAGATTTCAAACACTGGAATCAACCCTGCCATCATGACACCTTTCCTTCCTGGGTACGTTTTCTTCCCACCTAGCTTAGTCAGCTCTACCTCATCCTCTCTACTCTCCTATGGCTGAGGGCAGTCTGCTCTCTCGTTATAATTTGAAGCCATTACAGAGTTTATTAGTAGTGCCAACATCCTCTGGTTCCAAAATTTCCTCTCCGAAGCTGTTTTTCCTTCCACAAACAATCTTCTCAGCACATAACTCACAGAATCAGAGCATGTTCAGCTTAAGTTGACATTTTCTCGGCTTCATTCATTGTGTGTCCTACTTTCTGGCTGATATGATTGAGCATTAACTATAATACACCCATCCATGGGCCTGTGTGTCCTCAAAACAGCTCAGGTGAGAGGGAAGTAAGTTTATTCATGTCAGGTGAATAAATCTAATCAGTTGGCGTTACGGTTTATTTGCTTGATTAAATTGCAAGCCAGGGTACCCATTTCAAACTCCGATAAGGGTCAGATTTATTCGTTTATATAGATTTATGTTACGGGAAGTCACCCACTCTCTCATACGATTTTTCAGTCTTCTACGCTGGAAAACTTTTCACAGACGCGTCTTGTTCTGTAAACACGTTCTCGACCCTAACGGCACCTTTGCCCCACTCACCAGAAAAGGAGACTGCCTTCGGACATATTTTTAGGGAACGGAACCGGGTCGGTCCATTTGGCGGGTCCTTCAAAGTTCAAACGTTCACCGGTATTCAGCCAATTTCAAAGGCTCTAAGTGGAAAGCACGCTAACTGGCTTTTTTCGTAAGCGTTTATAAAAAAACGCTGTCGGTGAAGTTCGGTCGAGTGCGCTAGGCTCAGAGAAATACAAAGGATCTCATTGCTTACAGCTGCTCAGCCGACTCGGAGTCGGGAATGCAGTGGTGTGCGGCGCGGATCAGGACCAGGAACCCCTGAAGGCGCTCTGTGGACCCAGGACAACAACTCAACAACATAAGTCGCCCTTGAACCTTAGTGGCTGGCATCGCGCGCGCCGACCAAAATCCGCTCAACTCGCCTCACGCTCATCCAAAGCCCGTCGTTCATTGACATTATAGGCGAGGTACGCATGTGCCTCGGAGCCGCCGATGAACGAATCCAGGTGAGTTATCCTCGTGATATCGCCTCCATTATTCATAAGAAACATATTTTGGATTTCTGCCAGCCCAAACAGGCACCCCTATGATCTATCAAGCGCCATGCGCAGCACCAGGACAGGACTGTCACGCAACACCAGGTGAACACCGAGCTCCCGAATTACCGCCCTTCTGACCCTCCGAAGCAACGCTCTCCCACTTCTCCCACCCCCACGCTCATCCTCCTCGCTCAGGGTGCTTGTGCCTCCATGACTGAATCAGCTAGCTTGGCGCGTCCAAGTCGGCATTTTCACCCTTCACAGGATCAAGTGTTAATCAAGTAGATAGCCCTGAAGAAGGGACAACTACAGTCGTGGACAAGCAAAGCCCACTAATAAAAATGGAAATGTATTGATGGCTACCAAAGTGCCCGGAAAACGTGCAGATACGTTGAGGGAAGCTTCTGGCCAAATTTCAGCCAAGTCTCACGAGCCGTTTTGAAGAAAATGGCCATATACAGAAATAGACCCTGAAATTTTGGCCGGGACCCAAAAAGTGCCAAGAAAAATATGAAAAATAGCGGAATCGCTTCCTTTCATGGAGAACAATCTGCCCATCAAGTTTTGAAAGAATATATCGAGCGGTTCTTCTGGAAAAAATTGCCAAACATTGACCCAAATTGGGCACTTAGTCACTTTTGATGTGACATCTATCACGGGACTAAGAAATTCTATCATACTAGGCTTTCGAAACGCAGGGAAATCCCTTTCTGATAGATTCTTTGCCCTTTCTGAGTAGCTTCCAGTCGAAGCCCAGCACAGGTACAAGCTTTTGATAATTTCTGGCCGGTTTCGACCCGTTTTTATCCTTAAATGTTGCAGTTTTTTGGTCCAAAATTTTGGCCACACCTAATTCCTCGTGGGAAAAACTTCGGAGGTGCGTTTTTCGACGCATTTCGCAAATCCGAGCCAGAATCTGGAAAAATCTCAGCTCTAGATACATTATTTACCGAGATACCAAGTTAGTGGGCTTTGCTTGTCCACGACTGTACACGGCCCGCTGCGTTTCTTCTTGTCATCTGGGTCCTTTTCTCTTGTTTGAGACAAAAGACCCTTCTTCTACATGACATATCATATCCGATTTCCGAGTCGAGGTCGTCATTTGGTCGTCATTACGTATGTATTACGTTAGGATGATAAAGTCTTCTAGAGGAGAATAGGAAAATAGAATATCGTACCGACTAGTGGATCGTATAGTAAGAGTGGCAAGTTATAAAACGAGAGTGGGTAAAGTAGAAATGTGGGTAGGTGTATCATAACGTAGGGGGTATTCATTAGCGTCCATCCAGCCATTCCAGTAATAGATCAAAGGCTGCAACGTCTAGTTGTCAAGATGAGAACCGCTAAGCGGGAGGAGCGGCCGCGGGATCATTGGCGGGACCAGCACCAGCATTGCCAATATTGAGAGTACAACCCGCAGGGATTTCTGCACCTTCCGCGTCCCAGGCATCCGGATAATTACAACCAGGAATCGGGGCAGGCGAGCCCATCTTGTCGTCCTCGTTGAACCACCCATCGCCAGAAGGAATCGCCTTCCCGTCAGATCCAGTAAACGTAGGCGCGCTCAGCTTGACAATTGGACCAGTCATGGCGTATTGTGGCAAGTCGGCACTCGGGCCTCCATCGGCAACCTTCGCGATAGGCCACGTATACCTGGGAGCATCTTGCGGCGCACCAGCTCCGACAGCTCCGACCATCCATGGCTGGTAATTGCCGTCGAAAGGCTGCTGAGGCACGACACCGAGAGCTGCACATGTTCCGTCTGCCGTTCGTGGGTCGGTTGGCATGAAACCTTCACGAAGTCCCTGCTGGTAAGACCACAAGGGAGATTCGCTAATGCCTCGCTCAGACTTTCCGATCTGTAACGCAAAGATAAGCCTCAATCAAGAAGAAAAAAAGCGCCAGAAAAACCTTCCACGTCCAGAAAAAATTATCCCCAAGCGCATCCATACTGGCCTGCGCGAAATGCATGATGCCAGCCTTGGTCGCCGCGTCCCATTTGGAAGCATCCATCCAGTCTTCGCAGTTGCCGCCATATGTAACAGTGTCCTTCTCAGCGACGCCATTCAGGAACAGACCACAGTCATTGAATCCGTTGCTCCATTCACCAGCGATGGTAATGCCATAGTTCCTGCGGCTATAAAGCATATCAGCATACGAGATAGACTGTGTAGTTTTTTTGAACCAACCTGTTGCTGAAATCGGTCGCCCAGCGCTCACACGCCGCGCGAGGCCACATCCCACCTGCGTCAGCACCAGTACCAGTAGCAATGGGATCCAGCGCGGGTCCACCATTGAATGCGAAGTAAGGATGACTGTCTAGGACCACCCGATCCGCGCCACGCATAAAGTCTGGCCAGGGAGCGAGTGACAAAAAGCCGTCGTGGAAGGCCATGTACGGCCCATTCCCAGCGCCGTAACCACTGACCGATCGTATTACTCTATGAACCTCGATATAACTACGAACCCGAAAAGGGAGGGTGAGTATATGCGCCCAAAAGTGAAGAGAAAACGCACAAGGATCGCATTTCATTTTCCCCGATGGTTCGTGGAATAGCCTCGTTCATGACGCCGAACATGACGACGACGTTCCGCCATTCCGGCTGAGAGATGAACTGCGTGATGACTCGAATATAGTTCAACGTCCGCTGAGCATTTGCCATACCCATCACACCGTGAAGGAAATTGATCTGACCCTTCCTCCCGGAGTGGTTGAAGCCTAAAAAAATATTGTGAGCGAGGAAATATAATGCTGGAAGTATGTCTACCGTTTTGTGATCCAGGGATGGTATGCAAATCGAGATACACACGAATTCCATACTTCCTACACCAGCCAAAGAGGCGGACGATGTATCTTGCCAAATTGTTAACTCGCATAACAGTTGAAACAAGTTACCAACGTACTTCCAGCTCTTTTGGGCGAGGAACGGTTCACCTGGCCAAGTTTCGATAGCCCAGAACGCAATAGGGACCCTGACCCAGTTTAGACCTGCACCAGCGATTTCAGCGATATCTGCCTCCGTCTAGAGCCGCATTAGCTTGGAAAGGTGAAGGTAAATTAAGTAAGACTGACCATGAAAGTCGCGTAATGGTGCTCGATCTGGTCGAGTCCTCCATTAGCGGTGTCAGCCGCCATGAGCGTGCTTAAACTCCATTCATCAACCGCGCCAGGGTATTTCTGATAAAGAGCCGGAGAGATGAAAGGTTCCAGTACAAACCAACCACCTAAATTAACGCTAAACATATGTCCAGAAAGAAAGTCAACGAGCCAACTACAAACGGCAAAGTTCACACGTACCCACGGATGCGGTCCTTCCCGAAAGTCCAAGTTTGATTGAGCGGGGGAGTCCACGAGTTTGCCTGAGCGTTGTTGTTGAATGGCGCATCGCGATCCGAAACCCCTGATAGATAAATTATAAGCAACGCGCAAGATGGAGGATGTAGGACAGGGATCAAAACGACGAGGGTTTGGGTATCAAAAACTCACAGGTGCCACCAAATTTGTTGTTGTACGTGAAGGTAGTGCCATCTTCGGCCTTGATTGTCGAACCGTCACCGCCAGTGATGTCGACAGCGGTAGTCGGCTTACTCCCACTTGCGGTCTTGGTTTGCGTTCCCGTCGAGGCGGCGTTGTCTTGACTCTGATGTCCTTGGTTTTTCTTCTTGGACACTACACCAGCAGGAATGGCGATGACGAGAATGAGGACCACGATCGCAGCAAAGATGATACAAAGACAACGATAATGACGCCTTCGTCTTTTGGTCATAGCCGACTCGGTGTTGGTGGTGGTGGGATCTGAATAGGCCTCCTTGTTGGGTACTGGGTTCGGTAGGGCGGATGCAGCATACTGATCGTGTTGGGCGGGTCCACCTTCCATGTCGGTCGTCGTAAGCGGTTCGCGAGGGGTCTCCTGAATGAACGGCGCGTTGGTCGCCATGATCAACGGTGGCGAGGAAAGGGCGGGAGGCGGGGAGGGGACTAGGAAAAAGATGGCAGTCGCAGAAAGAAAGAATTAGTTGACCCCGCCGTCGTTTTTCTAAATTAAATAAATAGAAGACTTGTATGCCAGCCACCGTACGCCGAATTGAGTCCGGCATCGGCCGTTGGTCTCAGTCGACACCAACGAAGTCGTCAGCCGGCACGGAGGGATCCTCGCCGAAGATCTGCGAGAAGGGCCTTGACGCTACACGTAATAGAACACCACTCTTTGTTTTGTTGAGGCCTGAGTCCAGAGCGCTGAGCAGCGGCATTTCTCCTCAAAATTAATGTGGAGAAGACGAAGGAAAAGTCTCCAAGGCTTTACCCAAGATCGATTGAGGTCTGCCAACCAAGAACGGGAGTCGCTGATGTCTAAGTAAAACGAGAGCAACAAAAGAACCGGCTATAGAACGACAATTCTCGAGGGCGAGTCGTCAGAGAAAGTGGAAGCGGACGATGGGAGCAGGAGAAAAGAAAGATGTGGGAAGAGCGCCAAGCAACGGGTGCGCTAGCGTACACAACCATCACCAACCTAAAATCTTCAGGTTCCGCATCATTTGTCTTTCAAAATCTGCTCCCCAGGCTGGATGTATCAAGAATACAAACTCAACAAAGCATGCCACACGCCAGATGGGAATAACTTAGTCTCGGCACGCTTTAGACAAAGAAATATCCAGAAGTAGGGGAGAATCTGAAAACACACGACCAAAAATAAATCATGGATCGTCCTTCAACGGAGCAATGAAGTCACCTTGTCAGTTTCGGGCGCGAATTTCAGAGTTTGAGAACGTCATCAAGGGTCAGAAATAAATGAGGATATGGTGAGGTGTGTCGAACTGTGGTTAAAATTACGTCCAAGCCCAAAGCCTGAGGCTCGGCAGCTGAATCGGAGCTGACGTCCGTCGGCGGTGTTGGATTCAATTGGCGCGAATTGGGCGCGAAGACGAGACTGGAACGATAAGATGGAGAATGGAACCCAAGATTTAATCTCATGTCGCGGGAGGCAGCATGAAATTGAAACAAAGGGTTCTGATTGGGAGTTCGCACATCGAGCGGTAAGGCCGAGTTGAAAACCGTGCGAGAGAGCAACTGGGTCCAATGCAGATGACGCCTCTCTATGGACAAATTGCCCGATCTCGCGGATTGCCAGCGGACGCTTTGGACACGAAGCAGCGCAGAGATCGTGGGTAACGCACGGAGGCTGTATTCGTTTCGTAAACGCGTGGAGGTGGTGAAGGTAGGGCGCAAATCATGTCCTATTTTGCGCTCTGCTACGCGTACCAGAATCTTGTCAAAGAAGAAACCCTCGGAAATAGATTTGCTCCATATAGAGATTGCCTCTCTCTTTGGTAAGAAGGCTCCAGCTGTTTTACTGAAACCAAAACGCGGATGTAGACGTCCTGAAAAATGGACGGAGGATGTTCAATCACCGTTGTTCAAAACAAGAGATCATGAACCTGGAGGTTGCTTCTAAGTTCGGATCCACTTATAGGCCGACACGATAAACGAAATTGCATACAAAGAGGATCGCCAAGGTCGGAGGATAAACTCGAATTCAATGTCTGTCAAGGATGAGGCGAAGCAAAAGTATGAGCCGGCAGGGAACAAACGAAAGCCGTAGTATTTGGCATAGGTCAAAGGCGCAAACAACCGGCTAACCGGGAAGCAGATTCCGAGCCGGACTCATTCCCGAACATCGAACGGAAAACAGTTAGCTTCAACGTGCCAAAGACGGAAGTCGTCGGTGCTATTAATCGCCGTTTACAACCAACAGGACGTTACAGGTCTGATGGTCATGGAAGTATATGTATATCTCTACAACTTGAAGTAAATTTCAACGATGATCGCACGTTTCAAACAAATTGGAGCACCTTATCACTTTGAAGCTATAGATGGCTCTGATGTGTTCATTGAATCTACGGCGGCCTAAACCCATTAAATTAGGCTGAACCAGAAAAAAATAAATTGAAAGAAACAGACCTTGGCTAAAATGATGAGATGTGGTCTTCTTCCTTCCTCGTTTGCTATCTCAGTAAACACCTGCTTCCATAACGCCCATCGCGCAGGGTCATAACCATCCACGCCAACCCATCTCGCACCACCTAAGCCAGGCGTACCGCGTGTGTTCGTGTCCCAGGTAGGATCTCCATTTCGCCCATAGATGTCCTTGCAATGATACATCTTGTCGCCAGCAATGGTTACCCATATCGACGCAGTTTCGATTAAGAGGTCCCGAGGCCCAACATCCAAATGGCTTTCTTCAGACTTAGGGTCACGTTCGAGACCTGAACGCATGGCCCATAAAGCAAATAAAGCGTAATCGACTGGAATATTTTCGTCGATCCAGAGAGACGCGAAAAAACGGTTCAGGTTCAGCCACTTGCATCTCCCCTCATAAAACGCTAATCCATCGAGGTCTGACGATTCTGGCACATCTCCCGAAAGTATCCTTTGACCCAATTCGGAATTTGGGTCTTGATCACCAGATATTTTGATTCCTGCCAAGAAAGGCGTGATGAATGAGAGTAGATACCTAGAGGAAGTTTGGGTGCGTTCGCACCATTGATCCTGTCTCTAGAGACCGCTCCTAGGAGTGGAAGTTGCGCCAATGTGAGCTCAGAGCCCCACAAGAGATAAGTAGGTTCATCTAGCACTGTGAAGAGCTTTAGAAACTCTCGCAGACGTGGATGAATTTCGGCATCTTCTTCAGCTATATCAAGAATGCCTTCCCAGAGAAACCAAAGAAAATCCTCCACGCCTTCAGTAGGCTCATCGCCTGTATCAACACCTTTAAAATCTCGAGGTAGAGACATGATCAATTGTGCCACATTTTCGAGAAGAACAGTGGTATCGCGCAGAACTGCAATGACTTCTTCAGCTCGAGACGTAGAATTGAATGATTTGCCTGTTGCCATAGCACAATGCTAGTAAAGGGTATTTGAAGCTCGCTTGGAGTACAAGGTGATTGGTGGAAGACAACAGCTCCTCATCCGAGTCGGCGTCGAAGCGGTACTACATATTTGGCATCATTCCTGATTCCAAATAGTCACCTGCAGATCTTATCTTTCACTTTTCAGAATGAGAAATGTGGTGGAATTGTGGAGGGTGGACGGAGGGAGGGAATGTATGCAAAATCGTGACACCTGATGAGAATCGAGATGCTAGCGAACGAGATATTGACAGTGGCCAAGTGAACACCTCGTGTCCGGCGTCAGCGTCTGTTTTTACCTGCTGTCGAGTCTTTAATCTATGCGAGTCCCAAACGAATTTGGAATTACCTCCGGCGAATACAGCAGGACAAGCAAGAGTGTCCTCCAGAGTTGAACTCAAGGACGAGGCGCGTGACCTAACCGATGTTTACCAACCAGAAGCGTTCATTAAAGTAAATACTTACGATTTAAGGTATAATTTGAGTTGCAAACGCAGGGCCGAGATGAATTTCATGAAAGTCCCAATTACATGTAGAGTTCAGAACAGGGGTTCAAAGGTGGTCGCTTCTAGCGCGGGCCGGGGGTCCTAACCTACATCTGAGGTTTCACCTGAATCACCTCTATCCGTTTTTGTTTTCATCTGAAATCTGAAGAAGCCTGGTGGACAGCCTGAGACTTGTCTTCCAGGGTTTCGAATCGACGATGAGCGACCTGTTCGGCCAACATTTCATTGACAACCCTGGATGTTGAAAGAAAGATAAGAGCAAATTCCCCAGATTGTGAAGAACTATACTCGACGCGGATATTGTCAAAGCCTCCACTTACACTCGTCTTCGCGAGTCAAGCCTAGTCAAGCTTTCTGGAATCAGTCAGCCAAGTTGCCGGGTGGCGGACGTTGACAGAAAATTGACAGATGTCTGGATGCTTTTGTCATACTAAGCAAACACAGCTGGAGGGTTCTAAATAACTCACCATCCAACCACCATCTTCGAGTTTCGAACAATGAATCCGGCTACAGTCCGCAATCCGAAGGATAAAATAGGGTAGATTGTTTTCGAGTTTGGCCATGAGCTTCTTCGGACAACCACGCTAGGCAAGGCCTAGAAAACTTGGAGGGACTAGTTGAACCGTCGGCGGGGGGAAAGCTCTCTGATCGAAGGAAAGTATCGGTCGTTCAAGGGTAAACCTGGAAATGTTCTCGACTCCACGCTCGAGTCGCGGGCTTGTTGTCGCTTTCCTGCAATTTTGCGATGGTGGTTTCGAGGAGTGTGAGCACAGCCACAGCCACGGACTCTGCCATTATTGATAACGACGTCGACAAAAGTTAGAGCACTCAAGTCGTCTGCGCGGGATCCTGGCAGGCAGGAGAACGCCTTTGCATATCCTAAGCCTGCGACGTTCTAAAATCTACTTGGCTCCGGGTACGGAGTCTTCCACTCTCTTACTCTGATGTATTCCGCCTTTCTGATTCATAATCTCTAGGCTCGATCCTACGGCCTTGTGCGGTTATCTATGCTCTTGGACAGGGTGTCAAGCTCTGCAGCCCATCCTTGTACTTGGTCTCCAATGCTAGCAGGATAGAAACATACTACAATCCCAGGAGATTGAGAGATCATCCCCTCTCCCAGGAAAAACGGGCAAGTCTGTGGCAGTGGGCGTTCAAGACGTCCGAGCAAGTGTACTTGTACGCCAGCTGGTGCTAGTCGTGCCACTCAGCCACGACGAAGACTTTGTCGTTCGTCAAGCTAGGTCAAAGCTCTTTGAACCTACGCGTGGACGTTCTCTGAAGTTCTCGCCAAGCACCATGTTGCTGCGACCTATCCAAGACGGGCACAGGAGAGCTAACTCTCAAGCAACACCCCGCAAACTTGAGAGAGGGAAGGCAGGAAGCTTCCAATTCCAGGACCTCACATGTTCTCGACATCCCTCTTCACCAGTGGCCATTCGAAGTATTTCTGTTCAATGAGGCCGCTGCGATACATTCTCCCATGCTGGCGTTCATGCCCTCACTTGGGTCGTGAAATCGTGAAATCATTTTTCATGAGCACGTTGTGATTAGCGTTTTCGATGGCCAACCACATCAGGTTCATCAAAAGTCCTTCAGTTGGCCCGTACAGTTAGCCCCGGCCCCCCAGATTCCTGTCAGCCAATTACCCCACCCTCGATGCGAGCCTAGAACCTTGAATTGCGGGCTCCTCTGGCTCATAGGGTGTAATAACAATCTTGTCCTTGTCCAGTTCATGGCGGACGCGCTTCTGAGGACGTCCTACAACATGCTCCGGTGATTCTCCAGTTCCATCAGGCATTGGCATCAGGAAAGTCGACCCCTCCTTCCCGAGATTGCATTGGAAATGCGGTGATTGTGTTTTGAGAGGTGTGAAACGTGCCTGCCGCATATTTGAACCATCACTGATACCCTCACACAAAGTTCTTGCTGCTGCTGTGGCCCGTGATGAAGGGAAAGCAACGTCGTGAGAGCTCCATCTTGGTGGGGCTATCGACGTCGAGATGAAGTTGATTATGTACAGAAGGTGTATGTTCCTTCCTCAATTACTCAATTTCACGGCCATCTTTGGGGTTTAAATATGTCGTCGGAAGGAGTGAGACTTCAGATCATCATTTTTTTTTTGCGAAACTGGTATAAGAACTCGCCGATATGAATACAGGCACCTACGCTACGATGAAGAAAAGATCGGACAGGCAGATGTTCAAACACAGTCGCAGAATCAAGCACAAAAAGGGTGAGATGCAAAAGGGAAGGGAAATGGAACGTACGAAGAAGCATAGCAACAACTGGAGAAAGACGTTAGCCTGGATAGGCTGAAGGGAAACTGGACAACATACCCTGATAGTAAACTAATACTCCACAGCATCATCGTCGTCAGCTTGCATGGACGCAGAATCCTCCTTCTTCTCCTGCTCGGCCTGCTTGCTGACACCCTCATCGTCCACGTCCATATCAGCTTCACGCGTTGTGGGGAGTGCGGAAGGCGCTTCCAAAGGAGTAGGAGCAGAGGCCGCTCCCTCCAGCTGAGGCTCTGTGTCCATCACTGCGTCCTCTTTATCCGCCGCACGCTCGGTTTTTCTGCGAGCCTCTTCTTCTGCGACGCGTTGGCGGAGCTGGGCGATCTCATCGATACCAGTCGTGCGTTCTTCCCGGAAGAGGTCCCATTCTTTTTCTGCTGCCTCTCGGACCTGTGGGGTGGATGGGTTTAGAAGGTTAAAATGACACATGAACGACAAGACAAACCTCAGCCTTTCGCTGGGCTATGAATGCTTCTTGAGAGGGCAATAGAATGGCAGGGAGGTAGTAGAGGGGAGGCGGATGAGTCCTTGGCACAGGGGCTAATGGATTTTCGGAAGGGGTTGGGGTCGAATCCGTGGAGGGTATGTCATCTGATGTGGATAAAAAGTTTGAGAGAAGCGGTAGACGTTTCCGACGGAGTTTGTACTACCAAGAGTGTGTGAGACCGAGCTCCAAGGAGGCGATGCAAAAGCACGTACAATGGAGTCTTTCAGCTGCAGCTCTTCTTCCCGCCTGTTAGCAGTTGTCTTGTCTTTCTTCGCCTCCTCTGCTCGTCTGACGGAGTCAGTTTCTTTTCGTAGCTTAGCTTGTAGTCTTTGTTCAATTAATTGTCGTTTTTTGGCCTAAAGGAAAGCTTCATTTTGAGCAATCTGTTGTCGGGTTGACGTGGTCATACTCACCGCTTCACTGGCGTTCCTCTCCTTATCCTCGATCTTGGCCTTGTTAAGGGTACCAACTAAGATACCAAACATGCTTTTACCGCGTTTGCGTTCTCGATTGCCTTCCGCGGCATTCAGATCCAGTCGTGGTCGCTTCTTGTTCCCCGCAGCCATGGCAGCTGGCTCCGTCGGAACCTTCGTTGTCTCGTCAAGTTCTGTTTGACGTCCATTTTGTGCTGCTCTGGTAGATATTTCGTCAATATAGGATGCTTTCAGAATGAAGAAAGAGCATACTCGTCCGTCGACATAATTGCTGATGAGTGTTGGTGGCAGGATGCGTGAGAATTTGGGTGTCACTTTGAGTAACCGACTTGTTCCCAGACGACTCTCAATACCCATGTCAGGCTCCTCTGGACGAGCGGCAGCGTCGAAGGTGCTCTCAAAATCCAAAGAAAAAGTTCAAAAGCGCACACCAAAACAGCCGTTACCTGTTTCTGAGCGCCTGAAACGCTTGTTCACATCACTTTGTGCACAAATCGACGGAGGTCATTTCAGCAATGCTGTTAAGACATGCGACAAGAGTGCGTTCAATTCATCTAATTTGCTGCGAATCCTCATCGATTGTATAGTTTTGAAATTGGAACCCGGAGACGCCGACGCTTTACAGACAAAATTGTTTTTGTTGCTGCAGACTGAACAATATGACGCATCTCTCGCTCTTATCGAAGCAAACGACGACAAGGTCTCTCACGAATTTGAACGAGCGTACTCACTATATCGTAAACAACGCGAACCGGAAGCGCAGAAGGTTCTCAATGCGATTAAAGCAGAGAAGGGTGACGATGATCGGGGTGCACTCCATCTCGAAGCTCAATTCGTGTGTTTCACAGTTTCACTTCCGAACTGAAAGCTCACCCGGGAACAGAACTATCGTGTAGGATCTTACCATGTAGCTCTTGATTTGTATAATCAACTGCTAGACACCGCTGAACCTGTGAGCATTGAGTATGCCTTTGTAGTATTCACCCTCTGCTAATTTAGTCGTTTAATAGGGATCTGAAGAGCAATCCGATATCCTAACCAATCTTCAAGCATCTCAGCAACACGTGGACTTCATTGACAAAGGGTTTCTTCACGCTTTGGATGGTCTGCCGACCTCGATATCGTCCACCATTGAATCCGCTCCGCCACCCACACAATCCACTTCCTCTGCTGCGGCCCTCGCCAGCACAGTTGCTGATGCTCAACCAGCAGCGAAACCCCCGGTTAAAAAGGTCCGAATGTCGCGTGTGCCCGCTGGTGTCGTTCCAGGTGTCACACCTCCGCCCGATCCAGAAAGGTGGTTGAAAAAGAGCGAGCGATCAACATTTGGTCAAGGGAGGAGACGGAAGGGGGCTGGGAGCGGTGGGGGTGCAACACAAGGCAGCGCAGCTGTGGAGACGGCAGGTGCAAGCGCAGCGGGCCAACCTTCAAAGTCCGGCGGAGGAAAAGGAAAGAAGAGGAAGTAAATGAACAGGTGTTGGATGTGGTAGGCTTCATTTACGGGGTTTCCCCATCTCCATGTATCGTCATTCGCTCAACTGTGGAACATGCAGTAGCTAATGGGATAGACTGATCAGATAACGAACTCATGTATCACAGCTCAGATTTATCGTTGTTTTATCGGGATGCCAACGTTACAGGCGGTCCTTGTCAGTCCTCGTGCTAATAGGCACCTTTCCTTCTGTGACAGTTCGAATGAGCACACAAGGAGCTTTCGGATAATCTTCTGCGTCGCCAACTTTCAAGATATCTGAACTCTCCATCTCTACTCCATCCAGGCCGGTGTCCGCCCCAAAATTTTATCAAGAAACAGACTCGATGATGAGCTGGCAAATCATAAGTGTTAATTTTCTAAAATTAGCAACCCTGACGGCCTCATGTTTACCTCCAGGTACCGGATGCATCCAAATACATCACCCGTTGTTCTTGGCGTCAACTTGTCACAATGCTGAACGGTGCTAGGACAGAACTTACTGCTGTCTTTTGGCTCTCTTCTTCGTTCATCGCCGCCATAAGAGACACATGACCACGCGATTGAAGGCAGACATTAATGACGCGAGTGATACACGAGGAAGTTTAACATGAGAGTTGTCAGACAAAGACGATGATTGCGTTGCGTGTGTGGCATCCATCCAATGTATTGTGTAATGATTGACTCTTTCCTTGCATAGGCAGCGAGGATGGTAGGTTCTTCTCACATCTCCTCTACGTATGCTACAATTTATCCGTTGCAACTTACAGGCATCTGGAACGCGCTTGCCGCCTTTCGATATTGATGATGAAACGTGTACAAATCTAAGGGTTGCAACAAACCTGCTCGGCAGCCTCCCAGCCTCGACCCCTGGTATTTGCGTCGTGCCACCCTGTTGCCACCTCATTAAACATTTGTCAACCCCAGAATCCCTTAAAAGCCAGCAGGGTTCCAGCTCACCACCACATTCCCCACCTCCTTTCCTCTTCGTTGACGAACGACCGCCATGTTGTTGTCAAAAGTTCTTGGTGTCATCGTCATCGCGAGAAACGGTGACAGGTTCAACTACTACCAGGACCCCTTCACATATGCAGCCTCCAACACGGAGACCACTGCCCTCGGCGAGGTCAGTCATTGTTGTCTACTGTCATGTAAACGATGTATTCATTGGATGGATGCCACTTAGGTTGAGTCCCACAATCTTGGATCCTTTCTTCGTGCCACGTACTTGGACAGCCGCTCACCCTCTTACATCGAGGGTGTTCGCTCCGACCTTGTCGACAACAGCGAAGTCAAGGTTCGCGTGAAGGCTGGTGTTGAAGGCACTGTCGTCTTCGACTCCGCTATTGCCCTCCTCCAAGGCTTGTTCCCTCCCAACCCCAACAACAAAATCGTCCTTGCCAACGAGACGACTGTCGTTGCTCCTCTCGGTGGCTACCAATACGTTCCCGGTACGTCTTGGACATCCCTTTGACTTTTCTTATTGAGATGCGTTCATACAGTTGAAACCGTCGAACCCGGCAATGATCGTTCTTTGGAAAGTTGGACTAACTGCCCCGTATGTTGCATCGTCTAGACTGCGTCCTTTTCTGACCACCTCCTTCCAGAACTTCGACAAACACATTCAAGACTTCTACAAGTCTGCTGACTTCAAGAAGAAATCGGAGGAGGCTCAGCCTTTCTTCAAGGGCGTCAAGGACTACGTCTTCGGTCGCCCAGCTAACCTGGAAAACATCGTGCGTTGGTTTTCTTTCTCCCTGCTAACTGATCACTGAATTCGACGGAATGTTTATAGTGGAATGTATGGAACCTCTTGTTCAAATCAAACAACTGACTCACAGTCATGCTCGCCCAGATTTACGATTACATCAACTCTGAGCTGACCCACAACAAGACCTATGCCCACCGTCTTCCTCCCACTTTCATTGAGCAAGCTCGTCACTGGGCTAACTACCACGAGCACGGCGTCTTCTCCGACAAGGACATTCACGGCGTTGGCAACAGTAAGCATTCTTCGTCTCTCTATCTCAAGCTTCTTCAATGATTACCATCGCTTTCAGTCGCTGGTCGCACTCTCCTTCACACAATCCTCACGTCTCTGGAGCGCATCGCATTCAACGGCGACCCTCTGCAATTCATGCTCGTCGAGACAACCTACCAGCCATTCATCTCTCTCTTCCAACAAACCGGCGTTCTCGACGAACATCCTGAACTCAAGGGCTTCCGTGAGTGACGTTAGGCATATTGTTTAGTTACATTCCTAACGCAAGGAACGCACGTACTCTTTCTTTCCAACAGCCAACTACGCCTCTGCTCTTGCCATTGAGCTCCGTCGTGGCTCTCCCCCTGACGTCCGTGACTTTGTCCGCTTCAGGTTCAAGAACGGCACCTCCAACTTCCAGGATGTCCACGTCTTCGGCCACCATGCTGACATTCCCGTTACCGAGTTCATTTACCGCGCTGAGGTAACCGGGCTGCCTTCTTGTGTATCGTCTAGTCTAACGTCGTTTCTAGAACGCCGCCATCACCAGCAACAGGCAATGGAAGGAAGCTTGCGGCCTCGGCTCTGGTCCTTACGATGTCTTGGGCCGTGTTTACGAATCCCAAGGTGGGTTCACCGGCGCATACGTCTTCGTCGGTTTGCTCGGTCTGTTCTTCCTCCACAAGCTTGTCAAGCGTGTTCGTGCTCGTCGTGAGTCTCGTCTCCGACTGGAAGGTGATGAGGTGAGTCAGGTGGTTCCAATCAACGACTACGGCGCCATTTCGCGTCCACGGCCCCAGCGCCCTGTGGATGATCCCCTCAGCATTGATGACGGTATGGGCGAGCGCCTTGTGCTCTCAGCCTACTACCCAGATGCCCCCAGGTGGATCTTCTAAGCTGAACAGGGTGCCGTAGTTGTTGGAATAATGCCCTTTTGCCAATCTGGATTGGCTATATATTGCTTACACGCTGGGTCTTTTCCAGAGGCTCTCCGTCCCCGTAGGGGATAAGACAAGACTGGTTTAACCGCTTGACACGCAGAGGTGCCCTCCCGGGGCCACCCCGTCTCTTGCCTTGCTTTCTTGATTGCTCGCACTATTATTCATTCCATTGATTCCACATAGTACAATCATTGCTGGCTCCGTCGCACTTTCAACCGGTATTTAAGTTAGCTTCCAAGTCTTGTACTTAGTCCAACATAAAAATGCATCCCTCAGTGATGTTGAACCGTCCATGTCGAAGTCCTCTCAAACTTGAGCCATTTCTAGAAGTTCATTATCCTTCAACACGTCAGTTGCATCGTCTAGCGATGTGTAAGAGCAGTAGCTTTGTTCATGGTCCTGGTTCACAATCTGGTTTAAATAGCAATGAATTTGATAGCATTTCGTCGTTTGACATAGAATTTGGGGGCTTGATAGTCCTGCCGCAACACCCTCTCCCTGGCCCTCTCAAGATCTTCACCCATAATGATAGCAACATCCCAAGCCATCGAAGTATACAAGCTCGAGTGCCATCGTCACCACTCCGCTAGTTCAAGTCCATGTATAACCCTCACAACCTTAAGGTAAGCTCCAGGGAAGGCTGAGCGAGAAGACGCGATTTCGGGTGAGGAAGTGGCAGGGATGTGGGTTCTGGTGCACGATCCAGGCCATTTTGAAGGTAAGGGTCCGCATCATGTTTGAAGGATAACACACGGCGTCGAAGGCTGGGAGCTGCTTATGACGACAGTATTCACTTAGACACAGATTCACAAAGAGAAGGCGAAGGTGAAACATACACTTATGCTCATGCGTCAATGGCCCCGTTTCTTTATTGATTCGCTTGAGGAAGGAGGCTGTCCCCTTTTGAGTAGAAAGCCCTTGTCAGGGGCGTTGAAAAGAAGGCATACCAATAATCGCAAGGATAATCGGCCTCTCAAGTCCATCTCTGTGATCTTTCGGTGCGAGTAGAGATTCGTGTTCTCGGGAAGCTGAATCCTTCCCAGCCAAACTTTCGCCGTTGACACGTTGAATCCGATGTTGAACTAATGGTCCTTCTGGTATTTCACGCCAGCCACATCGTCCTTCGAGTAGTTTTCACCACTCTAGTGTGTTGCTATTTCCTGATTTCGACATGGGGGTGTACAGGGGCCTTGTTGTAGTCTTCCAGAGAACTGTATTTCCTGTAGTCAGTAGTGACCATGACGAACCGAGGACGACGCTCGTGTTCGAAAAGATTTATTAGGCGTACCTGTGCCCTCACTGAAGCGCTATCGAGCAAACCCTTCATTGAAATGGTAAGGAAGCCGACTGTTTCCCATCACTAGCTTCGTTGGAGCCCTACTCGGCTTGTCTAGGTCCTAAGAAATGAAGAGCAACTAAACAGTCTGAACTCGACGTCACTTCCAAGGCTGCCAACAGCCTGAGGCCGACAAAATACATTCATGGTATTGACTTGGATTGCTCAAACGCGGACATCGATTGAAACTGAAGACAGAGTTGAATTCAATTCACATTTCGAAAGTAACGACAGGACTTACGCGTTCGGTACCCTTTTCCACTTTATGCAACTCTCATGCTGGCTTTTACGGCAAAAATCCCATTTTTCTTTCCATACTAGTCCACCCCGACGCAGAGCCTAACAGGCCTTTATCTTGCTTGGTTCTTGAACAAGTTCAACGTGAATCCTTGTTGGTGAATGACTTGTTTGGGCAGGTCGTCAAAGTACAAGCCTCACTAACAGCCGCTACCCGAGGGCCGACAACACTCCCAACTTAACCATTTCGGTTGACGGATCAGTTGAGGTCGGGCTGTGCACTGAACCACCGTCCGCATGGTCGTCAAGACTCAAGATGGTCGTGACGCATCTTTGATTTCCAATTGTGCGTTGCCTTCTACTTACCTTCTCGGTGCTTCTTGCTTCAGCACAGTCTTCTCTTTAGACCCACATTCATCTCTACTCTTCAATCTTAATAACGATGTCATCGACTGGCGATTGTTGTGGTTGTTGTTTTCTATGTTGTTCATGTTTCTGTGAGTAGAGTCTGCCTTGTGTGCTTGAGAGAACGTGCTGACGACTACCTATTCATTAGCTATCTGTGGGCACAGTAGTCTCCTAAGATTGTGTTTTTTCAGTACGTCTGCATGCCCTCAAGACCGATTCTAAGTCTGCTTAGCACCGTGATAGTTCCCTGCTGCCGCAGCAAGGATGCGAGTGACGAGGAAGGGTCAGAGGGCGATGCGTATTCAGGGGACAGGCAGATGTACGAGGACCGTCACCGAGAGGCGACTCTCTTCCAAAGCCAGCCAATAGCGGCAAACGACATGAAGACGAGCACGGACCTCAGTTCGAATCCAAATGCGATTGGGAATATTCGGGATAAATCTTTAATCAGATGTGAGTGACTGTGGCTATTTTTACAGCGGCTTCTTCACTGATGTTGCTCACACCAGGACAATACCATATTCTCCGTCAGTACAGAACTGAATTTGATTACGATGGGCGGCCAGACCTTAAAAATACCCTAAAACGACTTCGTGAAATTCCATACTCCTAATGTAGAAATCCTCCATCGTGCATACTGAGTTTTGGACGGAAAGGACGCGTACACCAGAATCTAATTGCACAATGACGGTCAGATGCTGACTCCATTGTCTGGTTTCTGATGAAACCTCGAGTCGTAAATGTCATTCGGTTGTTCGATACGAAAACGAAGGTTGTGTTGCGAAACAATATCCAGAAATTCATTCGCTGCTCTCAGCAACCTATTCCTTAGCTGCTCATCAACAGCTTTCCGGTAATGGAGGGTGGCAGATTTTAGCCGAGCAGGACCTTCATAATTCGATCCCCGAATCGACAGCAAGGGAAAAAAACTTTCCGGGAAGGCACTTGGGTTGGCGCTGGTATCAACAACCTTGATGGTTCGTAATTTTGGTAGAATGGGCTCAGTAGCGTTCACTACCCATGTAAGTATCTGATCTGGGGCATTTGTGTAAATGGAGAGATGCTTCACGCCTGAGGCCTCCCGCAATATATCCTCAAATTCCACACTGGATATGGAGGAGTAGTTCAGCGTTAATTTGCGGATTGATGGCGAGCGACGGAGAAATTCCACGAAGGGCTCATGATCCCAAGGCGGCTCCACCGTTAGCGTGTTTTTGAGTCGGAGGTCCAGCCTTGATAAGGATGGAAGTGACAACGCACCGAACATTCCTCCGAGGCCAACTGGCGCGGGAAAAATCGACTGTTCCAAAGTTATGTGGAGACAAGTTAATTGTGAAAGGGTGGTATCAGGAAGAACAGGCCAGCTTGCAAAGGATGAGTTGCAACGAATAATGCATTCCTTGAGATTGGGCATTAATCTCATTGCGAGAAAGCAACTCTCGAATGAAGCAGTACTCTCTCCACCTTGGTGAACTTCGAAGAACATTAGGCTCAGAAATGGTACATTCCAGAACTTAATGGCAGCAGCCCCAGCGTGGTCCAAGGCGAGAGATGATAATTTCGGAGCGAATTCGAAGAGGTTTATAGCCATTCCGACTGGCCACGATCCTCGAACAGTTTTAATTGAGAGGCTGCGCAGCTGAGATAAATTGTTTCTTATCGGGAGGAATGCCTGCCACGCGAAATCGTAGGGAGGGAGCATAAAGAAAGCATCCACCCATCGGTTTGATTGCTCAGCAAGTAAACTGAGAGGATGCCTCTCCAACTTGTGAACCAAAGGATATAATGCTGGAACATTCTTCGCCTCGATAAACGCCACTGTCAGCGGAAGAGTACATGATCGTTCAATCCACATATTGACTAGGTTTGCATGAGAAGGTTGTAGGGCGGGCAATACCAACCGTATTGAAGTCCACAGAGCGGGAGTGGAAATTGCGATAACCCGCCACCAGCTGCATACATGGGTGAGGAGCAGGGGGCCGGACTTTGGGTCAAAAGTATCGCGGATGGTGGGGGCAAGGGTCCGCTTCAACCCTTTCGAGCAATGCATGAAAATTTCGGCCCATAGCTCAGGAGGAAGCCGCCTGCAGGGGGCGACTAAGGCGAGGTGCTCGGTTGTGTAAGCTTGAAGTGCATCACGGGTCTGGTTCAGACTGCTCAGGTGAGCTTCTGTTTCGCTGATCTCCTGATCGAGGAGCGATAGGTTCGTTTGCGCGGTCGAGAGCGATTCCTGTACCGCTTGGATTTGATCAGGTGAGGGAATGGCATTGGAAGCCAAGATTTCGGGCACGGGGGAAGGAGGGATCCAATCTGTCTCTGTCGAGGCCAATGTGCATTGGTAACACATAACTCTTTCCATCAAAATTGTGCCGTACTCGAAACTCTTGCTCGAAAACTACGGGGAGAGGACTCTTCAGACGGAGGCTTTGTGACGACTCCTGATACGAAATTCCTAACGCGGAAACTGTGGGCAACACTTTTCAAGTCGAATAAATCGGATTCCAACTTACTGGTAATCTGTGGTAGATGATGCGGTAGGACGGTGGCAGGCTGGCGACATGGCAGGCGAGATGTTGGAGGCTGTGCCCCAACAGCATGATATGTTTGCAGCGTGCACCAGTGATCATCGAAGTTCACCCCATCTCAACATCAGACTCCCTTCTAGGACCTCCTCAAGTTTAGGATGGGAGGCACGTCATTCTGGTCAACTTCTACAGCAACGGGTTTTGAAGATCAGGAGCCCGCTTTGGAAATGCGGGTGCCGAAGGATAACGAGGATGACGTCGGCGTCACGTCGCGTAGACTCAGAACGAGCGGATGAAATTTGAAAATTGAGTACTTGCAAGAGACGAGAGAGACGACTCAACGGTTGAAACCCGAAAACGAATGCACACGAGGTCAGAAAATGCTGGAGCGCGGAGGGCATCCTAGGCCACATCGGCTCTTTCTGTGGGCACCAGCACCATAAGCTTCTCGGACGACTGCGCTCTCCGTATAGCCTGACCATATCTTGCAGGCACCAATATTTCGGCCAGCGAGTTCATCTCGAAAATGTATCCCGATCATATGGGGCCATTTCCTTCAAGTATCAAGGTAACCGGCTCTCGTTACTCTAGGGCATCGTCAAGACTGACGAGCTGCCTGCCTGACAGTACTCGCAATGAGCGGCTAGTCACACTGCCTTTCCTTATAATCAAGAACGGCACCAGCGCTGACGCAGTGGCTAGTGGTTGTCCTGACTCCTGACGTGATGCCCTTCCTAATAGCAAAAGACTTCCATAGAGTTGGCTTTTCCGTATAATTGCGATTATGGCGCCTACTCTGCTTTGTGCAGTTCTGGTTTGGCTATGGTTAAAATCTAGGAGACGTGTCGTTGCGCTTCTCATTGGTGCATCAGGCCAGGTTACCAGTTGAACGCACGTCAACATGTAATTCCCCACAACCTGCCTGGACGAACCCATGCCCATGTTTGTGACATCATCCGGTCAACCCTTCTTCTCGTCTCTGCGTATAACTCAGGACGTACGCCTATAGACCCTCAAGCGGAGCGCCTTTATCTTCTCTGACGCTCAATTTGACAGGGCAGAATCAAGTATTCATCCTGCGGCAGGGCAACAAATGACAACGTCATTAGAAAGGCATACCAAGAGAGCTCAGACGGGCACCCATTTGAGGCTGGAGGTAGTTGAAAGGGTGACTATGATGGGTTCTCGTTAGCGTTTGTCAAGGCCCCATGGACAAGAGCAATGCTGGGAGTGTTGTGGAGCGGAAGAGCGGGGCGGCGGAAGCGCCGTGTGGAGTGACGCGTTCAACCTGGCCAACGTGAGGAGGGTACTATGTAAGAGCTTTGACGGCCTTTAGTCCATTGAAACTTTATGTCTACCGTCATAACTACATATCGACTCTCAGAAGTAACTTCATCTACTTGACAATAGGGGACGCTGTGATATCCATCGGTGTTTTCTGAATGGTGTTCATATTAACTTGGAATATTGAAATTAACGAGGAACGTTCAAGGGATCTGAGATGGATTCTTCTTACCTACGGACTCGTCATCAAGCAGCACCCTCCATCCCCTTCAATTCAACCTCGAATACCTCCCTGATTAATTCATGCGCCTTCCGAACTTGTCTAACCTCCTTGATGCAACAGGTTGTTCTGACAGTATCCCCGCAACAATTGCAATATTGGTAATGGTTCACGCCACGTTCACATTGCGGTGGAGATATTTGCTTTTGAACAAAAAACAATTTCGCAATTGTCTCCCAATCGAGGGCGTCAATTTCCTGGAGGCTGAGGTTCTGCACTCCTACGAGTTCTTCATACCCACTCAGCAACCAGCTCTGCACCATTTCTTGTTTTGCGAGGATGACCTTTTCCAATGAACTCAGTGGCATTGAATCTAAACGTGCGATTGCGTAACGACGGATCTTCAAAGTTGTATGATGATTTGGAAGCCACGCCAAATAAAAATTGGAGTTGACGAACATCATTGAGATCCCACATAGTGGCCAGATGAAGAGCTGAAATTAACCCATTTCGAGGAACATCAGGATCCCCTGGTCCTCTTGCCAGCCGAGTCATTCTTGTGCCACAAGTCGGCAAAGTTGACGTTTCAACACTCACATGGGATACATTAGATGCAAGAGACTCCGGAAATCATCTTTCTTTATTCCCTCTAGGATGATGGGCGTTTCGTCACTTTGACCTTCTTTTTCTTTTTCAAGGACCGACGGTAGGGTAAACATCGTGGCAAATACACCGGATCCACTTTCAAATCCACGACGTGGAACTTTGAACAGTGTACCCTCAACCTATCATACTGATGAGTATGAAACCCAGAGGTTAATATCTCAGTAATCCTACCCGAAAGACAACAGTGTCTTGGTAGAACGTGCTATCGCGTTGCAACCCCGTGTCCTTACTTTCAGCCACTAATTCATGCGACTTGGTCTCTTGATCGGCGGCCATCGGCTTAATCTTGGTCAATGCGAATTGCGAGGTTGTCTCTCGTGTGTAGTGGGGGTGAGAGTGAATCAGCCACTCTTGAGCCACGATTCCAGTTGCGTTATGTAATCCTAATGGGCGTTTTTTTCAAGGAACACTGGGAAAGTAGAAGCGCGCATCCATTGGAAGTCGATTCCAAACTTCTGCGGTGTCGGTGGTTGCGTGTTAGTTGCATACACTTCGAAGCTCGCCTTGTTCAGATCAAAGTGAGCAGCGGTGCAGCTACGGAGCAACCAAATTTCGCAGTAGTTCAGTGTACTTGGTAGTCAGTTTCACGACACGTAGCGGCAAAAATCGATAGATTACTCACTAATGACGCGGTAATGGTGAACTCACAATCTTCCACTGCTCTTGATCAGTGTAGACGGTTGAAGGCAATCAATATACCTTGGACCTGAGGCTGGAGTACTCTCAGATAGAGAAATTAAATGTGGTTCTATAGAAGGCAGAAAATGAACTCGGAGTTTCTTTTATTGCAGGATATAATCCTACAATGTAATTGAATTTATTGTGAAGGGGACTCAGGCGTCGTAAAATGACAGCTTACTAACTTGCGCTTCAGCAGCTGACCGGAAATGTGAATCGACCGGGCTCATCAACCAAGTGAATCGGAATAGTTTGACTTGAGATACCAAGAGGTAAATCAGTGACTTCAAAGCAGGATGGTTGTGCATTGACTTGGGAGTCGGATCATCAAGGAGAAAAATAATCGCTCACGCTAAGGATTAGGTAAGCATCAAACAGCTTGGCACCAGAAGTTTGGAGGTCTGCGCGCGCCTCCAGGCAGGTCCTCCTCCAAGATGATATCCAGGTTTGCAAAATCGCTATTTGCAGTTATATTCGTCATGGTAAGTTGTCCATAACACGTTACCGCACTCTCAATGATAATATCACACAGTCCTTGCTGGCTTTTCTAGCGCTCATGCATCCACCTTCGCGATCGTACATTGACCCATGGACGGACCAAATTTTCGGGGAAGGAGGGATGGAAAAGATGCTACATCCAAGCCTCTCTTCGAAACCTGCAATTGGCACTGTCAAGGGAGGGGTTATCATGGCGAAATTGGGAAACGAGACTGCGAAGTATGTGCATTCGGTTTTTTTTGTCATCGGGTTTGGGTTCTGATTGTTGAATCAATTCGAACAGAGCTGCGCTGGGGCGCGCTACGTGGAAACTCATGTGAGTGCCATTTGCGCCCAGCCGTTGAACGACGACGTACTGATGCCTGCGAGTTAGGCATACCATGACACTACGATTTCCCGAGGTCATTTCTTTGGACCCTCGATGTTTTTTTTGTGTTGACGTGTTCATACCCAGCATCCAACTTTGGATGAGCGAGAAGCTCTCAGCTCATATTTCTATCTAACTTCAAGACTATACCCTTGCGGAGAATGTGCATCGGAATTCCAGGAATTGCTGAAGAAATACCCACCACAAGTACGAATGATGCCATTTTTCTCTCTCCTTCTCATATCCAATGATAACTCCGTGACGGTAGACTTCCTCCCGACTAGCAGCCTCATCATGGTATGACCTCTCATTCAATATAGTTCCTGGACTTGTTGAGCACCTCTTCCTAGGCTGTGCGCCGTCCACAACGAAGTCAACGCCCGTCTAAACAAGCCCGAGTTCGATTGCGCCCACCTTGATGACGAGTACGATTGTGGCTGCGGCGATGCGCCAGTGAAGAAGAAAGTGGCCACAACAAGCGACTTGGAGCGGGATCCGTCAAAGGATGATATCACAGGAGTGGATATGATTCGGGGTGGAAGATAGCTTGCTGATAAGAGGGTTTGATTTATTTTGTAGGTCTTGAACTGCACTCCGTTAGACGAGCGGTTTTTGATATGTTTGTTCAGATTCAGGTGTAATATATGTGTACATGATAAAACTTCGCATTGCAGATGTTAAGCGTATGCTCCGTGGTACACCCTCTCCCGACCTTCGTATCTCTTGCAGAGACGGATCCACTTCATTCGCCCTGAACTTTCGAGACAAGAATGGGTTCCATCACCAACATACCTCCAGGTAGTCAGAACAGTGCTCGTTTGAAAGAGTGAACCAAGAGAAGGTGTCAACATTCGAGGTGCTCTAGATATTGACTCCCGATTGAGTTATGTTGAATTCACGACATTGCAAGAGAGCGAACTTAACGAGCGTATATTATATGTACAAGATATATACAAGTGAGCGGGGTATGTATGTAGGTGACTAGTAATACAGTATGACGAAGTGTGGGGTGTGATATGAGTGGGGTTAGATAGCTAGCAAGGAACGGCAGAATAACTTAATCGACAACAACGAGCTCCTCAAAGCTCTTTTTCAACAACGCCTTCTTCATCACATTCACCGGAGTGAACTGGTCCTCCTCCTTCTCCTCCACCACCGTCTCGCTATCCCCTTTCTCCGTAACCTTCTCCCACTCCTCAACTTCCTCAGTCTCCCCCATGAACACCTTCAACAACGCCGGCGAAAACCCATTCATCATCGCCACCCCCTTCCTCCCACTATCCACTTCAAACGTCTTTGCCCCAAAGCCATTCAAATCCCAATACACAATCTGCGGCACCTCATACCCCTTCTCATTATACGCCTTCTCAATAACGTCGTAATTCGTCGCCCAAGAACCAGCATCCGAACACGTGTTCTCCGCAGCGTCGAACTGCATGTCAGAGAAGATGAAAAGACGCTTGATCATGTCCTCCGACTTCACCTTGTTCTTCACAGCGAGCGGGAGGAGGAGCTTGAGAAAGACGGCGTTCAAGTCTGTGTTCATCTCCCACTGAGAGCGTTCCATTTCGTTGACGATGTCATAGAGCGACTTTGTAAGGTCCAACTGGACGAACTTTGGATGGGCGGAGAAGGTGATGAACCCGCCGTTGAAGGGTGGCTTGGAGAGGGAGGCGAGGACGAGGGAGAGGGAGATGGCGGGGAGGATTGGCTCAACGTCTCGTTTGTTAAATTTGGAGGATATCGAGCCCATGGATCCAGAGACGTCGCAGATGGCGATGGAGTTCTCGATGGATCCAGAGTCCTGCAAGTTTTTGATCAAGGTCTTCCACTGAGCCTCGACAACTCGCAGTTTTGTTTCAGCCAGGCTCTTCTTGAATTCTGCCAGCTGTGGGTACTTTCCACCATCAGAGTCAGCTGCACACGAGTAAGCCTCAGCGACCAGTTCGTGAGGAAGTAGGGTCGCGCCGCTAATGGTCTTCTTCCCGCTCTCCACTGAGATTAGGTACTTCTGGAAGCCGTCAGGATCATGCTTGAAGAAGTGCTCAGTGTTGTTCTTCATGCAGATAGAGGGAACCCGATTGTAACGAATTTCAGTCCAGCGGTTGGCGGACATGAGAGGCTCGGGGCAGGAAGAAGCTTGACGGAGTGGCTTGAGGATCCAGCGCTGGAGGAACGAGCGCAAAATGACCGCCTCCACCTTAGGTTCCAATGATGTCTGAAGAGCGGATGGAAAGCCGCCGTCGGGAGTTTTATTGTGGTGGAGGAGAAGAGAGATGGCAGTGGAGATATTAGTGACGCGATCATGGGAGCCCCGTGGAGTTGGTGCCCATTTCCCTGCGAGTGAGATTTTCTTGAGGTAGGGGATTCGGTCCACGTCCGGTGCAAGACCGCTAATCTCGTCAAGGATACGCATATCCTCTCCCAAGCGCTCAGCGAAGAGGCGGGAGACGGCGATATACAGCGCGCGGTACTTTGGCTGTGCAAGCTTCCCCACAAGACGTTCATAATGTTGTGCCCTCACGATGTCCCTCTTCTGCTTTGCTTCAGCTTTCTTCTGCTCATTGAAGAGTCTGGCCGCTTCGATGTGAGCAGCGACAACGTCTGGAGAATGCTTGACTCTCTTTTCGGAGCTATAAAAAGTTGTGGCTGGCGTGCGAGGGGAGTGCAGGAAGGTAGAGTGAGAGCTGCCGAACTGGTCGACGGTGGCGAGAGCAAGAATGTTGAGGAGATCTTTCCAATAGCCGTGCGACTTGGCTTCCTTCTCCTTCCCTTTCTTCGGAGGAGTGGTGCAGACCGGCTTGACAAGAAGGGGGAGGTTGAGGATAGCAGTTCGAGGGTGGTGATCGAAGAGCCAACCGTACGCCCTATGGAACGAGAAGAGGTTCAGAGTTTGAAAAAGAAAGAAAGAAAAAAAAAAAGAGGCGTACCTATAAAATGCCTCCTTCTCGCCCTTGCCGTCGTGGATGCTCCTCAAACACCAGATGATTCTTAAAGCAAGAGCTGGATCTTCCTTCCAAGCATTGTCGAGATGCTTCTTAATCTCGGAAGCATCCGAATACCGTGTGAGACTCTGGAAAGCGTCGAGCGTAGGAGAGCCAGTGGAGCTGTATGCCGGGGCCAAGTTCTCAGTGAACGTCTGATGAACCGTCGACTTGAGAGCTTCCATCATCGTGTTCAGAACGGTTGGACGATCCACTTCCAAGAACACATCAGCCTGCTTGAGTGGGATGAGGACATCCAGGAAGTTCTCGTCATAGAGCTCCGGGATATTGGGGAGAGTAACGATCTGAGCAGAGGAAGCAGCAGCTGGGAGAGATACCATTGTCGACTTGAAGCGATTGGTGACAATTGGCGTAAAACCTATGAGGTTTTTATACGCCAGCCTCATGAGAGACATTTCGTCAGACGGAGTCGTGAAACGTAATTGAAAGGATCCAAATGACTCCTCAGGACACTTTCTGAGTCACACGGCACCGCCGACCACGGCGTTGCCCAAGCGTTGCCAGGAGCCTCAGCGAGAGTAGGGTCCAATGGGTTCTCAGGACTGCGAGCGATGAGGAGAAGAGGAGAGAAGAGGGATTGAAGAGGGAGGTTTGGACTCCGATAGACTCGGTTTCCACATCAAGTCACAACCGAGTCACGACACAACTCTTTGGGACCGCGACGGTTGAACTTGATACGACGCGATACACTACCACTGCTGGTCTAATGATACAGATGTCAATCCGAGTCCGAAGAGTCTGATGATTCCATGTCTGAGTCTCCGTCTCCGCGATCCCTCCATTTTTCCTCCTCTTCCTTTCGAATAAACCGTATCTCTTGCCCAAATACTCTTTCCACAAGGCCTTCTGTTGGCGTAAGCCGCCCCAGGATATTATCTGGATATCGATGCCCACAGCTCGTGCAGTAGCCTGTGAAACGGTTTTTCTCGCAATATTCCGGCATCTTGGACTGATATTGAACAGCAAAGAGCTTTGCAACCGTCTCCCAGTCGAGCAGTTTGACTCTTTCAAAGGTGAGGGGGTTTTCTCTGACGAGCGCGAAGTACCCGGTTAGTAACCAGGTGGAGATTCGTTCCTTTTTTGCAATTAGGATCTTTTCGACGGCGTCCAAAGGTGTCTTTTCCATCATTTCGATTACGGATTTACGAACCTGACACACCATCAGGATAATTAGCGTGTGGGTATGCGTATTCCAAAAACTATCACCTTGACCAGCTCCCACATCGTCGATAGATGGAGAACGGCAACACGGTCTTCATGCGTTAAGTTCGGAAGATTCGGTCCCCTCAAAACCAGGATTAATCCAATGCAGGTGGAAGGAAATTTGAGACGAGGCTTACATAGGGTACATCATCTCCAACAAGCTTTGAAAATCCCTCTTTTTAACACCTTGCAGTACTATAGGAGAATCATCATCTTGACCCTCGGGGTTGTGCTTTCCAGGAGGAAGTGAAAACATTGATGCGAATATGACGGACTCCAACTCGAAACCACGGCGAGGTACGCGAAAGAGGGTGTCCTCAACCTGTCGCTCACCATTAGTCTGTCAACGTAATAGAAGAAAGATGTCTTACACGGAATACGACGGTTTCGAGGTAATAAATGTCATGCCGTTCAACCCTTTCGAGCACGAGGCTTTTTCTTGTGAGGTCTGAAGCCATACGGATGTGTCTTGGCATTGACGGATGGTGAAATGATATTTTGGTTAGTGGTTTTGCTTGTTGTACTCCTTTCAGTGACTCCTTTTTTACAAGATGGGATACCCCTGATTTCGTCATTTAGGTATGACCTGCGCCCTTCAGGTTTCTCTGGTCGTTGCTGCTGGACCAAAAGCATCATACGACTGGCGGCTCAACCAAGGTTGCCAACTTTCTATGAGCGTCAGCAATCAGATACTTGGCTGTCAAGCTCAGAAAATTTCAACTCATTTAGAACACGACGCAATCATGTAGGTGAGCTCAGATTCAGCCTACTCGCTTGCAGACTACAAAATTTATCTACCCTCCCATTCCGCCTCCCATGCGTGTATACCAAGTAATTCTGACTCGAATGCCTCTTTCCCTGATCTCTCTGCATCGGAACTCCCAAAAATATTCAGTTTGAGTTCATCAATGTTGAAGTAATGACCCCTGGGGCAATAATGCCCGGTAGTTCCTGCATTTTCAATCTGTTTTCTCCAAAGCTCTGGCTGTTGTTGCTGAACCAAAAGCAGTCGTGCAATGGTTTCCCAATCAAGTGTTCCAATTTCTTTCAGGGTCAACGGTTTGTCGCTACTAACAAGTTCTGCATATGCGGAAAGTAACCATTGAGACACCTTTGCTTCCCTTGCAAGTTGTATTTTTTGAATGGCATCCATGGGCTTCTCAGTCAGCTTCGCAATTACAACTTTTCGGACCTGTTTATTCTTCAGTAAATGATAACGAAATATCCAAGATTTTTTACCTCTTTAAACTCCCACATTGTCGACAAATGCAATAAAGCTAGCAGTTCATCTTGTGAGGGATCTGGACGCTTGGGGACCCTTTTATCGCAGTTTTTATTTCTCGCATTTTCCGACGGTTCCTATACTTACAAATTCGGATAAATTGCATGCAGAAGATTTCGAAAATCTCTTCGGCGAATACCCTCCAGCTTGATCGGAGATTTCTCATCCACGCCCTCTACAGCAGCAGCCTCTCCCGGAGGAAGCAAGAACATAGTGGCAAACACTTTAGAATCAACCTCAAACCGAATGCGGGGCACCTTGAAAAAAGTGTCCTCGACCTGTATATCACAATCGATTGCTGTTATCCACTTATGGACTTTAAATGTAACTTGAAAACTCACCAAAAAACAACATGGTCCAAAAAGAAAGTATCATCTCTTTGCAATGTATCGCCAGTCTGAATGATTTCGTTCACGGGCATCTCCACTGCAAGTTGGTTTGTGAAGGGAGTTTCGGCCCACCGGCCCGCCTGTTGCCCCTTCTCCCAAATCACGAGGAGCGACATTCAAATTTTATCGATCTCGTGGGCTTCGCCTCATTCTCATTCTGAATAAAGTGCAAAAGCTGCTACATCTTTAATGATTTAAATTCCAACTCCCCTTGCTAGCAGCGGTCTCGTCTCACTGCCAACTGGTCTCTTCTCTGTAGAGTGGCAACAAGATATGCTCAGTACCCATAAAACCGGGAGTTGAACTGGACTGTTGCCTTGTTTCTGGATGGCCCTATATCTTGTATTGACGTGTCACGGACGGAACGTCTTCTCATTGGTGGTGGAGGCGCAGCAGAAGCCAGAAAAGATATTTTTGATAACGCCGCCAGGTTCTTGCACACCTTTTGAAATCTAATTCCGACTTGTGACTGATCCCCGACGTCTTTCGGTTCAGAGAAATGATTGAAATATGAAACTGCTGCTCACTAATCCGAACGTTAAAGCCCCCAGGCCAGGGGCCGGCTGTCGGATAGGTGCCACACAACCAATTGGGACCTTGACTTGCCAGTGGAACTTCAAAAGCTTGACAACGATACGGGAAGTCAGTGTAGGCCTGGAGGTAGGAGTGGCGAGAAACCCGCGAATTACCTGGCATATCTTTTCGACGGCCTTACAAGTCGTTGGGTCGCATGCCTAACAACCATCCTTTGACCTGCTGCGTACCGGGGGCCGTTCATTGGGTTCTCCGAGCATCTCCATCAGGAAAACTACACGTCCACTTATGTCACTTAGGTCACTTTGACAAGTGGCCAAGTGACGAAAGTGAACTCAAGTGGCCAAAGGAAACTCACTTGGCTAAGTAGGTTGCTGCCTTGGCCAAGTGATTCCTCTTGATGCAAGTGAAGACTCAAGTGGGTAAGTCGTATGTCAAGTTGATCTCAAAAGTGACCAAGTGATGAAATAGCAGTCTCGAACTGTTCCCGATTTCACACAGAATGGTATATTTAGTAGGGTAAAAGAGTATATTAAATGGTACCAATGTCTACCTACAATGTAGCGGCTCAAGGAACCTCTGAAATGCGTAGAAAGCCAAACATCCCGCAACCCAACATCCCACCCTTCAGGCTCGCTCATGGAGAAACCAAAATGACCCGTTTCACTCGTTCACAGTGCCAATGCCTATCCCCTCGATGCGCAAATTGTCTTCGTGACAATTTGTTGATAGAATCGATGTAGCCCACGGTGCTGGCGCCCCAGTTGTCCTCCGAGAATTTTGCTTCTTCCTTACGATCCGGAATGCCGGCAGTAGACACCCCCGTGATCCAGAACTTGAACGCGCGCTCAGCCTGCATGAAAATAAGATCACGTGGAAGGGAAGGGAAAAGGAGACATACCCAAATGTCGAATATGTAGGCACGGCGAAAACGGCGATGGGATTGCCGCCACCTCCATCTAATGCGAATGAGCTCAGAATCTGGGCAGGGTGAAGACGGCGGTGGGAGTCTCCATATGAGCATGGCGGAAGATGGTGTAGATGTAGTCGAGGTACCTGGGTAGGGTAAAGTCATGAGGAGGGGACAGGCGGGGAAGAAGGGAACAAACCAGATTGTTTTTGGCTCGGTGGGGATCTCCATATGAGGGTGGCGGAAGGCGGTGTAGACGTAGTCGAGGAGATGGTACCTGGGTAGGGTGAAGTTGTGAAAAGGGGACAGGCGGGGAGGGGAGAAGGGAACAGACCAGATGACCAAGGTTGTCGTATTCTCTGCTGTATCCCAACATCAACTTCCTCCCCTCTAGAAGTACAAGAAAACCATCCTGCACTAGCGAAGGTCGAGCGTGTGATGGCTAAGGTTCGTCATCGTGTTCTGTGAGACCGTTAATATGTTTTGCATTTGTCTGTAATATAGGATATGCATGTTAGCTTGCCCTATCAAAATACAAAGCGAAGAGGAGATAAAGGGAGGAAAGACGTACCCAAAACGTCCTGCTGGACAGCGGACTCAGTCCTACACCAGCAAATGTCGAGCGCGTGATGACTACGGTTCGTTTTCCATGTCGGCGAGTGAGCAGGCACAGACTGGAGTGGGATTTGGCGAGGGCAGGTTGGACACCGCTCAGTTATGATGAATGTTGAAAAGAAAAACCGATGGTGAAAATTTCAACATTGTCACATGTCGTCGGACTTCGAATGCACTTAGGAATAATTTCTAAGTAGCGTGTTTGAGCATCCCGATGGCTTTTGTGAGCGCAGGCACTTATGACTTACTGACGTGAGTGACTTGAATCCCCACTTGGACTCACTTCGAGTTTGAAAGGAAGTTGTGGCTGTAACATCAAGTGCCGAAGTGATTCAAGTGAGATCACAAGCGATGTAAGCCCAACAAGTGAAGTGTAGTTTTCCTGATGTCATTCCAACCGGCGATTTACTCCCGTCAAAGCTACTCATGCCCGCAGTTAAACATGCGGAGGTTATAGATTTTTCAGTATAATAGCTGGTACAATTTGTGGTGAGTCCTTTATCTCAACAGTCCTTCATCTCAGCAGTCCTTCATCTCAACAATTATATTCCCCTCCCTTTCAACTACTGATAAAATGAAGTTGGCGTCTTTCACTGTCATTTCTCTTTCTCTGGCCCTCTCAAGTTCTGCGTCCCACGGTTTCATGAAGAAGCGTCTCAACGGCGTGACGAACGACAACATGGATAACCATTCCAGTTCCACTCCTGCGACCATTGCTCCTTATGCTGGCCCCACCCCTGCTGCTGTGTATCAGAGCGGTAAGATTTTTTATGGTGCGATTTTTGTAGAGTCTCTGATTTCTATAACTCGTCACTCTCAAGGCACAGACGGCTTTTCTGCCGATGCCTTAACTCAGCATAACGATGCCAGAACCAAATACAGAGCGGATCCCGTTACCTGGAGCGCCGCTCTCTATCCGGATACTCAAGCCTACGCCAATAAATGTGTGTTCCAGCACAGGTTAATATTATCGCTTAGCAAAGATGGCAGCGTGCGCTAACATTTTGTGCAGCACTTCAAACGACTACTCTGAAAATCTTGTAAGCAGTCCCTTCCTCGTCGCTGGCTCATCCTGACTTCTGGACTACGAACAGTATGTCGGTGGGCCCCGCACAACCAAACCATACCCCATTATGGACGCCGTAAACAGCTGGATGGGCGAAGCTTGTGAGTCTTGAATTGATAGATATATAAACCGGCTAATGTGTTCATCTGTAGCCGACTTTGATTGTTCGTTACTAGAAAAACCATAATCAACAATCCCACTCTAACCTCTTGCATCTTCCTGCAGATAATAACCCCAAGTCTACCGACAACAATGGCCACTTTATCAATGTTAGTGTCTTCCAAGTTTACAATCAACTCTTGCTTACCATTTTCATGCAGGTCGTGTTCCAGAGCGAGACTCAAGTCGCGTGCGCCGTCGGCGTCTGTGCCGCCGGCACTATCAACCCCGATGCAGAGTCTCAATTCGTAGTCTGCCGCTATTCTGGAAACAATGGCAAGGGTTTCGCGTACGTCATTGACACCAATTTGAAAAAATTCTGTTTGCTGACCGGTTTTTTGCCAGTGCGAACGTTGGGAAGCCGTTGGATCAATAATTTACTAGTAACTACTAATTCGTTGCCTATCGCTATATCGGACATTTACTTTACCCTGTGCAGTCTACATCGATATATGCCAGCGTGGACTGCTTTTCTGATCATCTTCCTTTGAGTCGCCACTTGTATAGGATTGAGAGGGCTGCACCAAATTACGTGTGAAATTCAGATCTTCAACTGCCAAATTAGATTGGTAGCCATTATATATGTTTAGTAGTCTTCATGAACACCGAACCGCATATTTTCGAGGAACTTATTCATTTCACTTTCGGATACATGCTACCGAATTCAATATGAACACGTATGATACAACTGAGAGTACAGTATGAAGACCAAGGAAAACCATAATGTATCCTCGAAGGATACCAGACTAATCGCTCGCCACTGAACATGGATTCACGAAACAGTGATCTTCTTCGGGGTAAGCTCAGAAGCTGACTTCGGGAACGTGATAGTCAAAAGACCATTCTCCATAGAGGCCTTGATCTCGTCATCCTAAAGTGCGTAAGTAAACACATCAGCAAGGACCCAGGTGAGGAAACTCAATGAATTACCTTGACTCCCTGTGGCAGCTGAAGCGTCCTTGAAAACTTTCCAAAACGGCGCTCGCGCACCGCATAACCATCCTCGTTGTACTCCTCCGAGATTTTGTTCTCAACCGACACAGTCAAACGACCGTTCTGAATCTCGAGCTGGACATCCTCCTTCTTCGAGCCTGGAAACTCGAATGATGCGGTTACGACATTTTTCTCTTTGTCTTCGTGTAAATCCATCCTGTTGTTGGAGATTAGCGATTGCAGTCTGGGCATGAATAAAGTATAACGGACCTTGGCTTCAAATCCCGAACGGCTCCCTCAGGGGTAGCGTCGCTTTGGACGCGCCTTTGGACCTGTTGGTCACCGCCGAAATTGCGGACTGTGCGCGGGGAAAGGACATTGTCGAAGAAGCGGTCGAAGTCGTAGAATGGCTCGTAGTAGAACACTGACATCGTAGTGAGGCAGGTTAAGAAGAAGATAGGTTTGTAGAGGAAGTGTTCAGAAGTGGAATGTTAAACTTGATTTGAGAGTTAGGAGGATGAGGGCGAGGTAGGGACCATTTTTATACCCCAGCAGAACCAGAAGAAACGTTTAGAAGGTTCGAGTGAGCCTAAGCGGAGAACGAGCGAGACGGATTAGTGAGCTCCAACGATCTTGGTGGAACACGCGCGAAAATGGTCGAAATTTCTGGAAACAGAGCTGAGGTGACAGGGTCCTTCATTCGTTTCAGGGAGGCTGGTGTACGGGGATACAGAGACAAGTTGATCTTGTTCTAATGCCTCATCTTGCACCGTCGGTTTCAACGTGTAATAACGGAAGGAGGAGAGTTGCCAGTGGTGGTGACTCAGGAGACTGAGGTGACAAAAGCGGCGTGACACGAATTGTCATCAACAAACCACAACAACGCGTCGCGTCGCCTTCTCCAACTCTGCCACCTGGAACTTCAGATACAAAGCAGAAAAAAATCAGAGAACGAGGCGCATTCACTATAATACATCAATCCAACACAGTGCCTCCCTCTGACTTCTTCTCCGACGTGTTGTGACTTATCGTCGCTCTTACTTTCAAATCGCCCACCTGCTTATTTGAGTTCCCTTTCGTAAATATATAATAATTTTACGATTTTATCGAGTTCTCAACGAATCGGGTAAATGAACCATCCAACACGCAAAGTGTCTTGAGATCCACATGTTTTTAATGAAAAGAACACTGATCGATTTGACTTGTGCTACACGTTGAAGAATCCGGTACAACATTTACAGAATTAAGAGGTATAATGTAGATAACAAACTACAGGTCGGAGAACCCCTCCAAAGACAAGACCTGACAAGATTCGCGCTCCGTATTTACGAAATAGTGATCTTCTTCGGAGCAAGCTCAGCACCTGACTTGGGGAACGTTACGGTCAACACCCCATCCTCCATCCCCGCTTTAATCTCATCGTCCTACAACACGCGCGTCAGCTGCAAAAGCACACTCATGAGTCAACCAAGCAAATTTAATTACCTTGACGCCCTGTGGCAACTGCAAAGTCCTCGAATACTTCCCATACCTCCGCTCGCGCACCGCATACCCGCTCTCATCATGCTCTTCCGAAATCTTGTTCTCAATCGACACGACTAGACGGCCATTATGAATCTCGAGGTGGACATCCTCCTTTTTCGATCCAGGGAACTCGAATGTGGCTGTTACGAGGTTTTTTTCTTTGTCTTCGTGCAGGTCCATTCTGTGTTTGTGTAGTTAGTAATTTTGGACTGAAAAGAGCTGCATTATTTTTTCACGAACCTTGGCTTTAAAGCACGCACGGCCCCCTCGGGGGTAGCATCGCTTTGCAGAGCACGCTTATGGACGCCGTTGCGCGCTGTGCGCGGTGTGAAGATGTCGTCGAGGAGGCGGTCAAAGTCGTAGTATGGCTCGTAGTAGAAAACCGACATTGTAGCAAGGCGAGTCAGATGGTAGTAGTGAAAATGCGTACAAGTGGACTTTTGCAGTGATGTTGGGAAGTGGTAGGAGATAAAGCAGCACTTTTATATACTCTCCAGCAGAAGAACCAGAATCGTTTGGAAGTTTCAAGTGAAGCAGCTTAGCAAGGAAAAATTGTGAAGACATGACTGGAACGTATCCGAATGTGGTAGAAATTTCTGGAAACAGGCTTAATTTGAAGAGATGACGAATTTTTTGCTACTCCCAGACATGCCTATACGGAAATAGGAGCAACCTTATTCGTTTTGGTGCTGCATGCAGCATGCATTGACTTCGACTCGGAGAGGTGTGAGTTGGGTGTGAGGACTGCCAGATGGAATGACTGAGCACTGGCAAAAACGTGACGAACATTAGCTGTCAACAAGCCACAGCAACGCGTGTCAAATGACTCGACCCACATGCGCGTCCCCTACCAGCAAAAAGAATAGCATGGTTTTGTTCTCTCCACCGACACACGTCTCCATACATTTCCAAGTCGATCTTTGCACAAAGTCCGTTTCACCAAAGTGGTTTACCGTTTGCACGCTTTTTTCTTGAGAGCTTACTTGGAGCTCACTCTATCTTCACTCATCCTAGAAGGTATTACATGGTTAATTTGATAGAAGGTGTACAGGTATCATTGAGGGCTCTGGAGTCAGGAAGTCGTCTGATGAACATGAGGGACGTCATAGTAAGGAGGGGAAAGTGTGGGAGGTATCGTGTGGGGGTATGTGAAGCAGGGCGCGCAGTGAGGTCCGTGGAGCAGTTTGGAAAGTGGGGTGCGTGAAGCAAGTTCTGTAGTCAGTAAGGAATATGAGAGACGGTACGGGAGTATATGAAGCAGGGCGCGAAGTAAGGTATGCGAAGCAGTTTGGAAAGTGGGGTGCGTGAAGCAATGGGGCGGCGGGAAGAGGGTAGAAGGCGATGAGTCGCCACGGGAAGGCTGACAGCAGGGCTGGAGAAGCAACCCCAACATTGCGAAGTTCGAGAGATCCGGCATTATGGAGTAGGGGGAGCTGCAGGGACCATAATGGGGAGGAGTCTATGGTGGCACCGAAGACGGCTCAATAACGACATAAGGCGGGTACTGAATAGGCAGCGGACGAGTTTCACCGCCCGGCACCAACGAAGGGGCACAAGGCGACGGCGTAGATACCGTCGGTGCTCGTCTTGGAGATGACCCAAGAAAGCTCCTAAAAAAGTTCTTCTATATGTCCCACTCACCAATCAGACCACGAAAAAACCCAACAACAGGTGAAAGAAAGACTCACAACCGAATACCCATGATAATCCCCCAAATTAATCTTACTCCTGTCGACCCTCGCAGCAATATCCACACTATCTATGAACATCCCCCACAAGATGATAACCATCACCGCAACCAAAAACGCACGTATGAATCTCCGGGAGGTGCGTTGTGAGACGGAGCCGGATGGTTGGTCGTGTGAGTGGATGTCACGGTGGAGTGATTGGCAGAAGGTTGGTGTTGGGCGTCCTAGTAAACCTTGGCCATGAGCGTTAGCGGGGGGTGAGTAGGGCGGAGGCGCCGGTGCTTGAAATTGTGAGGGAAGTTGGGGCGGGGTGGTTTTCAAGGGAGAGCGTTCGTCGCCTTCGGTGAGGAGGACTATCATTGTGATTGGTGCTGGTGAGGGTGAGCAAAGAGTTGGAAGTAGATCACTATCACGTACTTATCAGCAGGATATAAAAGCTACACGCGGTTATCAGGACAGCACATGGTCACGGTAACCCCTTTTCGTACTTACCAGTGAACATCGCAAAGTAAACATACTACTCACATTGGAATCCACAACCGTACTAGTGAAAAAAATTAAGCATGGTGCATCCAAACGCAACACATAAATACCACAGAAATACCAAAAGAAAAACCATTGCGTCCCTTGATCAAACACCCTGAATCAACGCCAAAGGAACACTCGACCAAGGTTCAATCGCACATTTAAAAGGGACCAAATACCTAAATTCCATCAGTCAAAAGGCAACTTAGAGTCTGATAAATCAACAGACGACAAAAGCCCACCCATCGCCTCCCTTTTAAGCTTCACTTCATTCCCCTCATCGTCTGCTGGCGGCTTGATATTGTAAACCGCCAGGACGTTGGATACTCTGTATTCTCCCCCAAAAGAAAAACAAAGACGCAATGAGGTTTCGGAACATAGTCAACGACAACAACAACTCACCGACGCCCTAACCCAAAAACAGCAGCTCCAGGACTCCGAATGCATTCATCGGCATTGAGGTATCGTTCATTTGGATCCACAAAGGCGTTTGGATCGTGCATCAGTGTCCTGATAGTAAGTATACTCATTGGTTAAGACTAGGATTTGCGGGAACAAGTTGGAAGGGACTTACCATGCATTTCCGGATCATACTTACATAATACAGTATAACGAGCGTACCCTTCGGGACTGCTTCGGCTTGGATTGGTTGGTATTTGGAGATGATGTTGAGATGGAAGTGTTCGTGGAATGAAGTCAATTTGGGTTCGATCGCGATTTCCGCCGAGCAGTAGAGACCCAAAAGGGTCACCCAAGCCAAGGGGTAGAGTTGCGATGTAGTCAGATCCATGGGAGCGCAGAGCGGTTGGACATTTCATCTCGTGAAGCCCTGTATACGTAGTACGTGAAAATGGTGAACAGTAGTCCAGCGCAGAGCTAGGGCGTCCTTACATAAATCATTCGAGATTCCGAGTTGACTTGGGGGAAACGGAGAAAGGTGCAACACGTGACATCCAATCATTCATTTTGATTTTCTCTCAACCACAACCGTCTGGGGTTTGCAAGCGCAACGCGTCTACCAAGCCAAGGATGCTCACAGATTCATCAGACGACGAAGGCGGTGTGCTGAAAGACGCACAGCTCACCATTAACGAGCACTACGCCAAAGCGTTCGAGTACAGGAAGGAGAGGGAGGAATTGGCAAAGTGTACGTTCCTCCTCATTCCTCCATCCTTCTCTTTCCTTGTCTTCGTTTTTTTTTAACATGTCCTATCTTTGAAGTAAAAGAAAAATACGGCTCCTCATACGGCTCCTCCGCCTCCTCACTCTCCTCCACCGACTCAGAAAGCGCAGAATCGGAAGACGAAGATGGGGAAGAGCTAACTGCTGCGATGGACGTTGCTATCCTACGTACGCTTGCTAGGATAAGGAGGAAGGATCCTGGGATATATGAGAGTGCGGTTAATGTTTTTGGGGGTACGTTCTTCTGTTCTGCCGTTTTTTTTTCCCCCTGAGCTGATGGGAAGGGTGTGGTGTGTAGAGGAAACGGAAAAAGTAACCCAGTCAACTACCACGAAATCTACGGAAACGGAGAGGAGTAAGAAGACGAAAAAAGATAAAGTCCGTTTTCGTTTCGTTCATCCTCTCTCGTCCACGACACTAATCAAGCACTTCAAAACCCAGTCAAAACCCCTCACACTCCGCCAAGCAGCCCTCTCCACCGTGCTCAACCCCTCCCTTTCCCGCTCCCCATCACCCGAAGCAAAACCAGCAACACACGTCGAAGAACAGCGTAAGCTCCGAGACGAAACTATCGCTGCTTTTCACGGCGCCTTGCCTTCACCTTCAAAAAAGACCAAGCGTGAAGAGGAAGAGGAAGAGGAAGAAGAAGACGACCTTCTCATCCCGCGCGAAAAAACGAAAGATGAGAGGGAAGCTGAGGAAGAGGAGTATCGTGCTTTTTTGGAGAGGCAGGTGGGGGATTTGAGGGAGTTGGTTAGTGTTGATGGGGATGAGGCGGAGGCGGATGGGGAGGCGGACGGGGAGGGGGAGGGTGAGAAAGAGGAGACAAAGAAGAAGAAGAAAAAGTCGAAAAAGAAGAAGAAGGGGAAGGATGGGGAAGAGGATGAGGAGGGAGAAGAAGAAAAAACCGAACCGCGAAAATCGAAATCGGAAAAAGACCAGGAGTTTTTGATGAAGTAAACCGCCCTTTCTTTCGTCCCTTTCCTTGAAATGACTAACCCTTTTTTTTTTGTGAACAGTTATATCTTGAACCGAGGATGGATCGACCGGTCATCAGGGCACGTACCTACGTATGGGGAGATCACTTCTCCACTTGAACAAAAGCGCAAGGAGGGCAAGAAGAAAAAGAAAGAGAAAACTGAGGAAGATGGGGGTGACGACGCCTCCGAACCCAACAACCACGAAGAAGAAGAAGAAGAAGAAGAAGAAGACCCCGCCCTCCTCTCCGACACATCCTTCAACTCCCTCGCCTCGCACTTCGAAGCATCATACAACCACCGCTTCGAAGAACCAAACGCGGCACATATCCCCTCCTTCCCACGGTCCCTCCTATCCATCGTCAGGCGGGTCGACACCACGCGGAAAGAGGCGCGAGAAAGAAGGAGGAAGAGGAAGGAGGAGGAGATGGAGAGGAAGAGGGAGGAGGTTAGGAGGATGAAGGCGTTGAAGCAGCGGGAGGTTAGGAGGATGTTGGAGAAGATAAAGTGGGAGGGTGGGTTGGGGGAGTTGGAGGAGGGTTTTGGAAGTGAGCTTGAGGGGGAGTGGGATGCGGAGAGGTATGATGAGCGGATGAGGGGGTTGTTTGCTGAGGGGGAGCAGGAAGGGGGGGAGGGGGAGGATGAGGATGGGAAGCCTGTGTGGGAGGATGATATTGATATGGGGGGTATACTCGTGTCGGAGGATGATGTGTTTCCTGTTACTGTTAAGAGTAAGAGGGAGTTGAAGAAGGAGAAGAAGAAGAAGGAGAAGAAGGAGAAAAAGAAGAAGAAGACAGGGGACGAGGGAGGGGTTGATGTTGATTTTATGGATGCTGATGTTGATAGGGGGGAGGGGGAGGAGGAAGAGTGGGATGGGACGGAGGAGATGCGGAAGCGGAAGTTGGATGAGTATATGGATGAGATTTATGGGCTTGATTTTAACGATTTGGTTTGTCTTTCTCTTTTTCACCTTTTTTGATTGGCTAACTAACTACTGGTATATAATACAGGTCGCCGGCCAACCCACCCGCTTCAAATACGTCCCCGTCCCAACACAGACATACTCTTTGGCACCGGTGGAGATTTTGTTAGCTACGGATAAAGAGCTGAACGAGTACGTGTCTGTGAAGAAGTATGCGCCGTATAGGCAGGAGAAGGATCGGAGTCGCTGGGATGTGAAGGAGAAGGAGAAGTTGAGGGAGTTTAAGGAGAAGGTTGGTGAGCGGGTTGGTGATCGTGGGTTTGTGATGGGGGGTCGAGGAGGAGCAGGGGGAGATGGAGGAGGAGAAGGGGAGAAAGTGAAGAAGAGGAAGGGGAAGAAGGAGAGGATGAAGATGAAAGCGGCTGCTGGGGCCGAGGTGGATGTGGAGAAAGAAGGAGAGGAAAAGACGGGGGAGAAGAGGAAAAGACAAGATGTTGGGAATGAAGAGGTTAAGGAGGTGAAGAAGAAGAAACGACAGAGGCATCGGTCAAAGGCAGGAGAGTCATAAAATACGTAGTTACCTGATGTGTGACATCGTAGCTCCGCAGCTGCTCCATCCAGGAGTGTTTATATCTCCTTTCCTCCTCCTCCCTCTTTCTCTACCACACCATGACCAACAAACCCGGGGAACAGTCCACAAGCTCACAAGTGGCAAAGCCTCCACCACCATACACCGCATCACCAAGTCAACCAACCACCCAACCCAACTACCCCATAATCCAACCATACCCCATCCAACAACAACCCATCTACGTCCGCTCAGGCGAAAGACCATGCACCCGCTTCTGCCGCGCCTTTTTCGTAGCGGTCGTCATCTGGCTGTTATCAGGCATCTTCATCCGCAGTTTTCTCTCCCTCGTTCACTGGCGGCCCCACCATCACCACAGGCCAGGGAGCTACGCCGTCCCTTCAGACCTAACACTCTCCGCGTGTGTGACAGGCTTCGCATGGTCCCTCGAACCGTTCTCGCCTACCTCGTACGCGGCCCAATACCCACCTGGCCACTCCTTCCTACCCCCCAGCGCGTTCCCGTATTCGTCCCAAAGGACGTTTGAGTTGCCATTAAACAACCAACGAGGGGAAGGAAATATTTTTTTGCTGTCGAGGGGCCCGATGTCGAGTGGGACGTTGGATGTTGTTGTTGATCCTGAGCAGAAGAAGGGTGTGGCGAGTGTTAGAGTCACTGTAAGGTATTTTAGGGAAGATGTTAGGGATGGGGCGAAGGCGTGTTTGGTTGAACGGGAGGGGGGTGTTAGTGGTGTTGGCGTTTTTGTACGTCTTTTCCCTTCCTAGGATCGTTCATGTCACTTACCTTTTTTTTGGAATGTAGACCCCCGAGTGGTGGTATACTGGCCCTGGAGTCGACAAGCAACTATACATGGAGATAACCATCGTTCTGCCCTCTGATTCTGCTGACGAATCCACACCGCTGTACATCAAGAGGTTCGAGACGGACTTGCCGAATACACTTCATCGCTTGGGAGACCTTGCCAAGACAATTTCGTTTGGGAGTATTACGCTTCAGGGGACGAATGCGGCTATTCAAGTCGAGGTGTGTTGTCTACGCATCGTCCGATCCAAAGTCGCTGTTGACACAAAAGTTAAAACTAGTCGGTACGTATGGATCAAGGAAGTTTCGTAACGAAGAACGGGGGTATACAAGGGACGTTCAACGCTTCGACGAGTCTTGAACTCAAGACTTCTAATGCACCCATAAGGGTTGACGTTGGGCTGCATAGTGGTGGTGGTACCGGTGACACCCCTTTCGAGATGTCCACTTCAAATGGGTGGGTCCTTCCTTCTCCCCTTCTTTCCTCTTTCCAAGCTTCTAACACCATTTTTTGGCGGCATTCAGACCAATAGACGCATCCATCCATCTCATCCCCTCCACCTCCCCTTCCCCACCACACTACAAAATCCAAGCCCACACCTCAAACAGCCGTCTAAACCTCAAATTCCCCCCCTTGTCTCTCCCTCCCCCCTTCTCCCCGATCTTATCACTAAGCGCACGAACATCCAACGCACCAGCTACCGTATCGCTCTACCCAACCTACGAAGGTCGCTTTTCTCTCCAAACGACGAATCATGGTGTAGAGGTACATGAGAATAAACAGGGGGGGAGGAGCAAGAGGAGGGTTGTTATGCAACGGCCAGGGAGGGGGGCGGGGAGGGGGAGGGTTGAGGGTTTCGTTGAGTTGGTTGGTGTTGGCCATGAGGAAGAGGGGGGGAAGAAAGGGGGAAGGGTGGATGTGAGGTCGCAGAATGCGCTTGTGCTTTTGGAGCTGTGAGCTAGGGTTTTTTTGTTTGTTTTGTTTTGTATTTGAAGAGTTTTTGTACATGTATTGAATTTATGTAGTACATATGGTGTGCTGTGTTCCATCACCCTTTTGAATGCACTTCTTACTGTCTCCTACCCCACTGATTTATTTATTTTTGGCCTCTGACTCCTGCCAGGCCGAGACGACGAGTCATCATCATCACCGTTAGTATGTTAGTTTCTACTGTCCACCCTGCCGCTTATCTATGTTGATACAGTGATGAATGCTTAGAATTTTTTTTTTCCAGTTTCAGTTTCGCTAGATAGTACTTAGGCTGTTGCAACGGCGATATGCTCAATTTATACGCACTACGTTGACAGCGTCACGGTAACAAATTCCAGCCGGACTTGTGGAAAGTCTTTATCGTCCATTTGAATCTAAATAATTAGATCTAGCTTAGCCTAGCTATAGCTAAGGCTATACCTCCTAGCCCTTAATTTCACTGGCGTTGAAGCAGTAAATCTGACCTTCAATTACAAGTTGTTGACACGTTATTGTGGCTCCAAGTTGTAAAGTCACCTCGGACGCCGATCAATAAAATAATATGTTCGTCGCGTGACTCGCGTTTTTGTCGAGGGAGAAAAGGGAGAAAATGCGTATAAGTAGAATCACCGTGCTAATTATTTTCACATTTTCTTCTTTTCCCGTTTTTTCGTCTCTAGCATCCTAAGGAGACTGGCTTCGAGTCTGGTTTACCTTACGGTATAATTCAAAGCTTATGCTAGATATCAAAGATACAGAATCAATCCATAAAAATGGAAAAAGAAGTCGGTACTTCATGGAAAGGGTTACATGCCAATGATGCCTTCCTTAACGTACTGACGCCACTTTATCACCTCCCTTGCCTGAAGATAAGGTGTCGGACTAGCTTCAATATACTTCAACTGGTTGGGTTGCAATTTCCGATAGGTGCAGTCTTCATCGACCTCACAATTCACGACCAGTACCTCCTTCAGCGACGTCCATGTCCCCTCCCTCTCGAAAATACTATCCACGGAGAGCCAGTCACACTTTCTCAAATCTTGACGGTCAACCGTGCTCAGTATAAGGACAATTTTCTCCACAGTGTTGTGTCCGTTGCAGGACGCCAATATGTAGGGAACGCAACGAAACGGCGCGATTGAGGAGTAGATTCCAAAATTGGTATACGCTGTCTGTTCAACAGTATAGGAAAGACTGATAGACAATGTGAGGTGACGGAGGTCGGTAAGAACGCCGAGGTTGAAATATTCTGGGAGTATGATGTGAGTATGAGGTTAATTAGGAATAACTTAACTGCTCACCATCTTCACCGTAAAACGCAAGGTCTAACACTTGAAGAGAGGAGGAACACAACTGAAATAACCCTTGTGGCCTATTCCGATATCCGTCATACTCAATCACCCTCAATCTGGACCAGTCAAACGGCGTCCCTGCACCGATGAGGCAATACGGGAGACCGCCACGGAGACGAACTTCTTCAACAAACACCTTTTCTCTTTCTCCTGACAAGGACACGTAGTCGGGACGCCCCACATACGTATCGACGTCGAGTTTTTTGAGATTTTGCACCACACTCAATAGGTTTACGGGAATGTCACAGTATCTCAGCTTGACTGAGCATAAGCCGCTGCGTTGCAGAAGAGCGAAGATGTAGGCTTTCAGGTATTGGTCAAGCTTTTCCCATCTTACTGTGATGTCCAGTTCGATTGATGTGAGATCGTGCGTTAGATCGCTGATCAGGGACAGGAAGTCGCGATTTTTTTTCGTGCCAGCATAGCCAATGTCATCATGTGTCGAAAGGAACATGGAGCCGTCTTGTTCTCGGGTAGGATGACATTTGGATATTCCGATCTCGAAGGAGATCGTCTGAAGGGGTTTCCAGGCTTCGCGAATGTAGACGGTGATGTGTCGGTATGATTGTGAATGACAATATGGCCGGAGAACTGGGAAGGCGAGGTACAAAGCTATCATCGTGGATGTGGCAAGGTAGGAGTCGATGATGTGATACATTAGCTCTGGAGGAAGTGGTAAATTCCACTCATTTGATTTATTTTTTCCTAGGCGCTTGAAGATCGTGTGAAATCGTTGGAGGAGGGATGGGGAAGAAGGCATCTTTCTTGAACGAAACCGGTTCAGCATCCTGTCTAGGAGGTTTGAGGTGGTAGGTGAAGATGCTCAGGTTGTCGCCTCTGGAGGCGCACTATCGATAAAAAGGCATGTTGAAAGCATGTTGAAGGCATGCCTCACTTCACTTCGGCGGTTTGCGGTGTGCAGTAAGAAGAAATTCAAATAGAGACAGGAGCCAAACATGTACACGCAACGTCAAGGAGTTCTTTCGCTACTACATGCCTAGACTTCACTGCAACCCATCAACAGCACATTTCAGATGGACAACGAAGTGAGGCTATGGTGCATTATTCTAGGTGAACATGTCAACGAGCCAATATTTCGCCTTACAATGCGTGTTGACGACACGGTCTCGTACTCAAGGAGTGCACGAAATGCTAGGGTGGGTCGCATTTCCATATAATCGCTGAGCGCCTCCCTCCGACTTTCCTCCTGGATCGGTTATGCTCGACTTCAAGTTGGACGTAGTGGTCGCCAATGCGCACAATGTCATAACTTGGATCTAAATGTTTTCGATGAATGGAACAGTTTATCATTTCAAGACTTCAGTGTGTTACATATCCATGCAAGTATAATACAAATTTCCGATATTCCAGAAGAAGCAAAAACATATACAAGCTCGGAGGACTCCTCGCAAAAAAAAATACACCCGGCGATTTATGAGATTGACGATTTAAGAGATAGCGATCTTCTTCGGAGCGAGCTCAGCACCTGACTTGGGGAACGTCACAGTCAAAATGCCGTCCTCCATATTAGCCTTGATCTCATCATCCTGAAAAACACGCGTCAGCCCGAAAACCCACTCAAGATTCAATGAGAAAGTTTAAATACCTTCACCCCCTGCGGAAGCTGCAACGTCCTCGAAAACTTGCCAAACCTCCGCTCACGAATCGCATATCCACCCTCATCATGCTCTTCCGAGATTTTGTTCTCAACCGACACGACTAAGCGGCCATTATGGATTTCGAGGTGGACGTCCTCCTTTTTCGAGCCTGGGAACTCGAATGTGGCTGTAACGAGGTTTTTCTCTTTGTCTTCGTGCAGATCCATTCTGTGTTTGTGTATTAGACTGAGATGAGGAAAGCGTAGATTGTTTTTTACACGAACCTTGGCTTTAAACCACGGACGGCGCCTTCGGGTGTAGCGTCGCCTTGCAGAGCGCGCTTCAGGTTGTGGACGCCGCCGTTGCGCGCTGTGCGCGGGGTGAAGACGTCATCGAGGAGGCGGTCAAAGTCGTAGTATGGCTCGTAGTAGAAGACTGACATTGTAGTGATGATGAGTGAGATGAGAGAACTTTGGAGTCGTTCGAGCGAATGATGTTGGGGTGGTGTGCGACGTAGCAAGGCCTTTATAAGCCCTCCAGGAGCAGAGCAAACATAGCTTGGAAGATTCGAGTGAGATCATAGCAGCGTGGCTGGCGAGGTCTGGAACATATCCGAATGTGGTAGAACTTTCTGGACAGACTTGATCGTGGAGCGTTGGTTCCAGATGGGCTTGTACGGAGGGCTAGGCAAACTGTTTTGGTGCTTCGTACATTGAGTACATTGATCATGCGAACCTGGGCGATATAGATTCCGTTGGAGCTTGTGAGTTGTTGGAATTCGATGGAGCCAACGTGTTGTTGTCGCTTATTGACGTCTCTTTTGTCACTCCTTGTTTTGTCGTGGTCGCTTGACGAAATTGTGACCAAATCAACCCTAGGATTTCTTCAAACACAGACGATCACCGGTCATGTCTGGATTTCCTTGTCAAAGCATACACGAAGATTCAAAGCAAAGGCCAAAGTATCTGCGTCTTTGTACACCAACTTGCCCGAAACGGTGTCGTCATCTGTCTGGTTCCAGAAATTTCGACGACTTCTCGCGTGTCCTTCCAGTTCCTGATCGCTGGAGCTCATTCACGAAATTTCGACGTGACTCATCATTCTGGGCTTTGTCTCACTCGAACTTTCTAAGCGGTTCTTCCAGTTCTGCTGGGGTATAAAAGTGGTCGCTCCCGTCCGAGCCTCTCAATTCCACTTAAGCATCCCACACCCAAAAACTTCTACCACAAACCTAGTACCTGCGTCACTACAATGTCAGTCTTCTACTACGAGCCATTCTACGACTTTGAACGCTTCTTCGACAACGTCTTGTCTCCGCGCGCAGTGCGCAACTCCGGGGGTGATCAACAGCTTGTCCAAGCTGACGCTACCGCCGGGGGAGCCGTTCGGGATTTCAGACCAAGGTTCGTCATAAATCGTTCATACGCAGACTACAAGTCTACAACCGTTAATAATCAACAGGATGGATTTACACGAAGACAAGGAGAAAAATTTGGTGACAGCTACATTCGAGTTCCCAGGCTCGAAAAAGGAGGACGTCCAGCTCGAGATCCAGAACGGTCACTTGAACGTGGCTGTGGAGAATAAGATATCGCAGGATTACAATGAGGACGGCTATGCAGTGCGCGAGCGTCGCTATGGGAAGTTTTCGAGGACACTCCAGTTGCCGCAGGGAGTCAAGGTAATTTGAATGGCTTTCTTTGATTGAGACTTTTACTGATGCAGATACCGTAGGATGACGAGATTAAAGCGGCTATGGAGAACGGCCTTTTGACTATCACGTTCCCCAAGACGGCTGCTGAGCTTGCGCCCAAGAAGATCACTATTTCTTGAAATCAGCCTGCGTAATTGTGTGCATTGGGCATCGACGGCGATCTCTCCACTTGTTGATACTCATATGTATTACTATCAGTCCTCATTCTTCTGAAATTCCTCTTACATAACTGTAGCACTAGGAAAAATACATAACCAATTTGTTGCAGACATTGAGATACCTTGTGACCAGTGTATACGAAAAGTAACACACTCCCCAAATCGGGACAGCGACACATAGGGTCATAACGCGACACATAGGGTAAATTGCCGACACATTGATGTGTTCCTCCTTTCTAATGTGTCGATTTTACATGTGTTCGACACATCTGAATGTGTCGAATCTATGTCATCGTGTGCCTGCTCATCTGGCCAACTTCAGTTTCTTTTTTTTAATTACAAGTCCCCCTGTCCAAGTCCTTCTGTACCCGGGTAAATGGCAATATAATATGTATTCCTTATCTACGAGAAACACTTTACATGGGAAGGTAATAGTATACCTACATATGTAGAAGTAGGAAGTATCAACGTAGGAGCACCACGTCTCCCCTTCAATAACGACCCCTTGCTAATCGATTGTTTTGGGCTCGTGTTCGGGTTGTGTTCGTACGTCGGGGCTGGTTGTGCACGCTGGCGTTAAGCTCAACACGTCGGTGTTGGTTCGTAGAGGGGGGCGTTGGGTCATGTTATGTCGGCATCACGAGGTTTTTCTGGTGATATGGGGTATGCGAGGAAGAGAGTGGGGGTGGAGGATGGGGGCAGGCTGGGGAATTGTCGATGGTGCGATTGGGTTTGCCAATCGTGGTCGTGGGCACCCGTGTCCGTTTGTCGAGGGTGGTGATGAGCCCCCGTGGCCCCGTGGACATTAGTGGGCGCTCGTCGTCGTCCGTCGATCGTGGGCCCTCGTGGCCATCCGTCGATCGTGGGCGTGGGCCGTACATAGAAGCTTGTCAATTGTGGTGGTGGGTCCTGGTACCCAATCGTCAGAGATCGTGGTGGGCCATCATCGGCGTTCCTCGATGGTGGTGCTGGGCGCGCGTGGATGTTGGTGGGCGCTCGTCTCCGTCCGTCGATGGTGGTGCTGGCGGGCCCTCGTGGCCGTTCGTCGATCCTGGTGGTGGGCCCCGTGGACGTTCGTTGGTGGTCGTCGCCGTTCCTCAATCGTGGTGGTGGATCCTGGTGGCCGGTCGTCGATGGTCGTGGTGGTTGTGAGAAGAGAAGTTGCGTACTTTTAGCCCCACAATCCATTGTTCCCGTTTTAGAAATTGTAGTGGTTGTATTTGGCTACACCCTCTCCGTCCCCCAAAATGGTTGTTCCACCCGAATCAAAATGAACGCAGGCCAACCAGGTTGCGACTTTTTGAGGGGATGATGACACTGAGAGTTGAAAATGTGGACATTTTATTGTTCTATTCTACTGTAGTTGAATGGTGGCCTCAGTGAGTTGAGCCAGGTCAACTTGAGGCATGTTCAAGGCATGTTTACGAACTGGAGAACCCGATTCGGTCTGGGGAGGGTGCAGCCAAACACAACCACCATAATTTCTAAAACGGGAACAATGGAGCGTGGGGCTAAAAGTCAAAAGCTAATGCTCGCTTCGCTCGCAACAAAGTGTTCGGGTCAAGTTTATAAAATGAGGAAGCGGATTGTGGCGAGATAGCCAAAGAAAAAGTCAGGAAAATAACTAGTGAATTGTCCCTAAACTCAGCCTCCTTTCAACCATAAAATCGTGGATGGTAGCATTAGAAGTTTAGACTAGCCACCCCAGGTGGTCTCCTGAGAACAATGTCGACCAAACGAGAGCCACCCATTCCAACCAATACGCTGTTTGAAAGTTTTCGGTACTCCTTCATGATTTCGTTTCGAACATACCTAGGTAGTGGACTACGTTGGTCATACCATTTCACGAGTTTTACTAGGCCCTCCACGTTGGAAATTTTGAGAAGAAATACTTGTTCCATAATCAAGACTGTCTCTTCTCCATTTATTAGAAGGCTGTGTTAAACGTTCACGAGAGACGCCTTACCAGCAATCATTTGCTCGCATTTACCGGAGTTCAATTTGTTGGGGTACCATGTGAGGACTTCTGTGGCATATGGTGAGCCCGAGTTGCCGATGACACGTGGTCCACTGTCGATATCTTTAGAGAGGCAGCGCATGAACTGGAATAACGTGCGCTTGAGTGCAGAAAGAGTCAATTTGCCTTAGGAACTAACGATGTTTATTGCTTCCGAATCCAAGACCAACCACGAGATATTCCAGACGTCCAACATTCCCCGACGTTCAATTGAGGAGGGCCATGCGGCACAGTTATCTTGTCGGGAAATAATGTGAGTAAAAGGAATAAATCAGATTTTCAAATTTCCTACCATTATAGCCCTTCCTGTAATTGCAGAGGATTTAATTAATTGAAGTACAAAGATTTCTTGGGGAGAAAATACCAAAGGCAAGCCTCTAGCTTTGGACGTGTGTCCGCCAATTGTGCAGTCGCGAAGAGAAGTGTTAGTTCGTTTGCCATTGAAAGATTGACTTCCTCAGTCGGGCCACTGAGCGCTTTCAGCGTCTCCTGTATTAATTCTGTCAGACGACTGTCGTTGGGTGTTGATTTGTGTGCTTCAAGAAAGTTAGTCTATTTTTTGACCAGTAAAAAATTATTTCAAGTGTCACCCACTTTCCGAAAGAGCTAAGACCGCCTTGGGAGGATGTGGAAGAGCCAGCAGGGGGTCTCTGTAATGTTTGTTGAACTTCCCTTTGGCCTCCTGTTTGGCCTTTTCCTCCAGTTCAGCATCGTCCAACTCCTCCTCATCCTCATTTTCCTCTTCAAGACGTTGTAGGACATCTCGAGCGAACGCATCAACTTTTGTAACGATCGCTAGAACGGGAACTTTGCACGCGCATGTTCAACAGCCGTAAGACGAGATGAAATTTCAATACCTTGCCAAATGACGGAGAAAAATTCCAGTTCAGCTCGTTGGATCGGTCTAGAGTTCATTTCTATACAGTACCTATTGAGGAAAAATGGCTGAACTCAGTGATTTGTTCAAAAAAAGATAGCGGTTATTTACAAACCAGACCATATGAAGCCTCTGATACACATCTTCCTCCTTATTTCTTTTCTCGATAAAGTTCCTAACGACCGCAACTTCCTCCACCTTGCCTGCTTCAAATCCCTCGGAATCGTGCGCGACGAGTTTATCGTTGTTTTGGAATACTATCTCCTTCTCGATGTCGTGATGGCCTCGCTGTTTTGTTTAAAGAAACAATCAGTGGCGGAACTTAACGGAGGTATGTCGTTTTTTACACTGGTACTGGGTGCATCCACCTTGAAAACCTTTTGAGAACTTATATATGGACCAAAAGATTTGATTGCCTCACCACATCCTCTCCACAAACCTACACTCTCGTCAAATACTCTCCAGTGGTTGTGCAAGTTGAATCATACTTTACTTAGAATAGTAGTTTTGCCAGAACCAGTCTTGCCGATGATCAAGAGCCTAAATCTCCTGCCTCGGTGAATAGTACTAGGGAAAAAAATTGCATTTAGCTCTCAAGCCTGATCACGGAAGACACTAACTTAGGGTCAAATTTGTAGCTCTCGACCTCGGCCGTAGGCTGTGAGGAGCAACAACCCATGCGCGTT